TATAGCTACTCTGAGCTTGAAGCAACCTCAAAGAAGACCAACGAATGAACCATAGGTGTCACAAGTAGCAGGTTGCAAAAGCATGAAGGGACAAAAACAAGCAGAGTATCCAATATATTTTGTTTGGGACTTACCCCATAATAAGTATGGAACTAGGGCTTTGTCCATTTCCGATTGCCCCAAAAATGGCGTAACTATACAAATTTAGTCGATTTGCAGTGGCTCTAATTCTTTATTCTTTGTTTCTTCTTTACATACGGAGTAACTTTTATTTCAAAAGTCGAATCCAAAAACTGTTTGTATTGTCATAAGGCATAAGGAAAAGGTATATTTGTAGTCGTCATTTTCTCACTGAGAAATCCTCGTATAACGAAGTACGTCAGAATTTTGCTTGCATGCCATTTAACGGTGAGCATCTAGCAATAATAATTTTGGAAAAATGTATCCTACCTATGCTTTTTTTACAAAAAATTCCTTACCTATGTATGTATTGTGATTGGTAAGAACAAAATTAATGAGGAAATGCACATTTCGGACCTTTGGTTTACGCGAGGAAAATGTCTGTTTAAGTCCTATTTTGTAGTCTATTTTTTAGCGCATTTTCCAATAGCCTATATTTGCTATATTTGCGATTAGGTTAAACACGTGACTGCATACGAACTCACTTTGTTACAAATATGCTGAAAGCACGAAATTTTATTTTTTGAATCGTTTTGATACCTAACCGGACGACGTTCATATGTAAAACTTTAGGACCATGAGGATTAGAATTAGAATGCTCCTCAACAGGGATCAATTTTAGGAAAGGGTGACAATTTTTGAATTAATTAATTAATTACATTTCTGATTTTGAAAGGTTATACGATGAACAAAAGTAAATGATTTGCACTATACTGTGAGTAACTAGTGACATTTCAAATGCCAAATTTTTTGGAAAATAATTCCTGTTTAAGTGCACCACAGTGCTTCCGATTTATTGTAAGTGACTCGTGTGATGCTATCCAAATCGAAATACTGAACTACGTGATGAATGAGCAAAATGGTTTGAGGCAAAACTACAATTTTTTAAATGAACCATGCTGGTACCATGGATCCATGTATTTGTACTATTAGTAACTAAATTCTGTGCCGTAAATACAGAGTGATAGCTAAACGAAGATCTAGCCAGGTGGAAACCGTAACTAAAAATAAAACGATTTAAAATTGTACGATCTCTACCACGGACATTACCTTACCTGATTAAGTAAAAATAAAGTCAGTTGGATCCAAAAAAGTGTCCAAAAATTCAATTAAATATCCTCACAACTAAAGGAGATAAGGGGGATGTAGGTACCATTACATCCGCTACCTATCGTAATGCTAGAATTTAAGATTTCGGTATGATGACCTCTGATTTCGCACCGAAACAGCGCTCTCCACTCAAAAATTCACAGAGTAATGGATGTAGCTAAAAGGGTGATCTCCTTCAAAAAAGTGGCTGTGTGGGGTTTTTAGATGTAGAGAGGGCTTAATCCAACAAAAACAAATCTCATCCTATTCTCACGTAGAAAAAGGCGGACAGAGCTAACAGCTACTGGTACTATGAGAGAAATACTTGCGCGTCACGTTAGACCCAGTGCTTTTTTAACTTGGTGGGAATTTTAAAACATGTGACCACTGAGCAGCTCTGGCACATAACATATGGCACAAAAACGAGATTCAAGCAAAGTTCACGAAAGAGCACTGCAGACACTGGTCGAAAATTCCAGGATATTAAAGATCGTGGTATTCTTGAAGTATAGATGATACCGGAGACGAATCAATACGGACTACCACATAAGCATTTTAATAACTGAAAGCATATATAAAGGGCGCAGAACCTTAAATCTCCAATAAGAAATCAATAGAAAAGTTTAATTAGTCCCACCTTACGATTCACAGGAGTTGAACACACGGCCAGTTATCTATTTAAGAATAACTACCACCCTCAATATCTATTTTGTAGTACTTCGACCTAATTCTGCAATGATTTCATTTGCATTCTATTTATTTTCCAATAATGTTAAGATTTATTATTAAATATCTGTCATGATATCTCGATAGGACTAGGTGCTTGTATGATTTCCAGAGCGATATCTTTCATTGGAATTGCGCTATTCACATGGCAATATATATTAGAAGCAAATTGTATAACTTTAGAAGAAAATTGAAGTTTCCTGCTGTGCATCCCACAAATATTTAGATCCATCTTCGTTCGCGTGTATGTCTGTTACCTGTGTCAATCATACATACCAACTTTACGTGTAAAAATAACAACTTAAGTACTTATTACAAGTTGTAAAGCAATTAATTCAGTTTATATACTCCAGCAATGAAGCAGTCCCTAATGAGAACGTTTTAAGTTTATTAATGATGAAGCTTTTTACTTAATAGCTGGTATCGTTCAATCACTGTAAATACGATGATAGGCATTTACAGTGTCGCGATGCGTCACGTCGGCTGCGAAGACGAAGTAAAATGAAGTAAGACATAAATCATTATTATACAATTCTCAATCCTTCTCATTCCATTTCTGTATTCAGGATCTCGATTTTACTAATTGTTTAGGTAGTGCTGCTAACGACCCATTTGCATTCGAAATGTAAAAAAAGAAAAAAATGCATTGCTTATTATCAAGACGTACAAATCGAGAACGAAAAATTTAAAGATAAAACGATGTCTGGGGATGGGGATAAGAGCACTTTGCAGATTATTAAAAAGTATATAAGAACAAGAACAAAGAAATATTTCTGCTTACGACGCACCAATATTTCAAAATGATAAGGAATTTCTAAAGTATTTTTATAAAATACTGCGATTTAAATCTACCCTTCTTCTAATACGTAATTGATTTCCATTTCAAGTCGCCGTATTTTTTAACAAGAACCTTAAATTCTATTAAAAAATTAAAATCTCAGTTACAAATACTTGGGATGCGGACCAAAAAGAACAAAGAAACGTCACGTCGGCGGGTTTTAAAGTGGCGCATAAATAGTACAACAATCGAAAATTACGAAATGATACCTAAAAGTATAAATATCTCTCGCTGCCAAAGGCATGGATGAGGTGAATTTAAGAAGAGCAGGTGTCTTAGTGAGATTGTCTAAAAGTAAAAACCGTGCATCTGGAAGAAGCTGTTGATAGACGCTTATAATTAGAGACAGTTTTCCCGAATTGGTACCTGCGTTCTGTTTTATAGCGCAGATACTTCCCTAAATTTCATCCGCCCGTCTAAGATCTCACCACTCACTCACTTGTTTAAATGTTCCAAAGAACTTTAAACCACACATACGTGCACTGAAAGCAGATCTAGCAAAAATTTTACGAAGAGGATTTGCGTATGCGGTTAAAAATTCAGTTTGCCAATTGTCTCTCTTTTATTTGAAGGAAGTGGTGATTTGAATCCATGTGTTCTGGTCAGATCGTCCTTGTTTTTACAACTTACAAACAGTTTTTTTTTTAATTGTATGTAACTTTCCATTTATGCCCTTGACGTTTTATCTGACATCATCTCTAGGCCTTTCTCATTACTGATTGGTGTCCTAACTTTGACCATTGGATACCGTGTTTAATAAAATGAAAACAAAAATAGTGTTGTCAATAGAAAAACATCTTACCAATCATATTAATCAACATGTAGATTTGTTAATCGCGATTTAAGGAACTATCGATTCACCACAAAAGAAAACTTGTTTCTCGTATTGTTTCAATCCGTCAATATCAGTGAAGACCACAAAGCAGTATCAACATGTGGTTACATTCTCACCACATATCCCAACCAGAGATAGTTTGAACAAATTAGGTTACTATTTGTTAATTGATAAGAATATTAAAAAAATAGATTGTTCTGTAAATTTTCCTTCCACACACTTGGATTTAAACACGTTGTAAATCAGCATATGCATGATGAAAGGGCATTTTTGGTAATACAAATCAGCATTTTATTAGCAAAGTTTCAAATTACCGATCTCACGAGTAATCTAACTCAAAATAGGCTAGAGCCTCCACAACGACACTATAGCAGAAAGTTTTTAGTGAAAATTTGGTCTCTAGTTATTGTAATTGCTGAGATCTCAGCCGGACAGTCAGCCAGCCAGCCATAATAGCGTATTTTTTTCAAAAATCTATAACATACTCATAGCAGCTAGCGCCATATGACTCCGCGTGTGTTTCTTTTTGCATGGGAAGGACTTTGGACACTTCACAGTTTCAAGCCAGTGAAGCGAACGCAAAATTTCTCAGATTTTATCACTTAAAATGGGACTTTTATCAACATCGCGTGTAATTCTTATCTTGTAGAGCAATATCTTGCAGACATTTTGATATGTAACCCACCAAAATATATTTAAAAAAATGGTGGCACTTGGGGAGTCCCGACAGTAATAACTGATGATTTCTCCCTCACACTACTTCACTCCATTATTTTTGGTGCGACGTATTATAGAACAAAAAAACGCGTTCGCTTGGGTTCGAACACGTGTCATCAACCGTTGTAAATCGAGCCGAGCTACGATTACCTTCATAATATACTGATATAAATACAAAATATATTAGTCAATTTCATAGACACATTGCCCTTTTGAAATGCATTGAAAACATACAGCTGAGCGAGTGGTCGGATGTATCCCCTAAACGCACAATTTTACGCGAATTCCCCTACCTACTACGCCAATAAATTAACACCTAAGCCAGTGGTTCTCAACCTTTTAGACACTGCCGCTCACTATTTAAGTTGAGTAATTTGCCGCCCCTCTATGAATTATAATTTTTTTTAAATACATAATAAGAACGTTTAGAATGGTTGTAATTTTAATTGTTACAAATCATATTAGATAACATAAGTAATAAATCCAATCAGTTGTTTTAAAAAAATACTTTATTTGCCTTTAATATTTCCCCCTAGGAGGTCGAGACCCATCGGTTGAAAACCACCGACTTAAGCTAAACAAATCAATGATCATAAATAGAAGAATGTAACAAACCTGCGTTTCAGTGACGTTTAAAAGTTTCGCCATTTCCGATCTTTCACTACTACTGAGGTACTTTTTCATTTCAAACTGTTTTTCTAATTCAAAAATTTGACGGCCGGTAAACGTAGTTCTTGCTTTCTTCTTTTTCTTGGCATCAGCATCTTCGGCAATGGAATTTGTTGGACTAATTGTAGCTGCATTTACTAATTTTCCTTCTATTGCCTTTTTCCTTTTTCTTACACAGTCTGAAAACAGAAAGCAATGCACTAGCAATTAATGTTCCGGGGAGAAACATAAGGGTAATTTTACCCTACGTCTAGTATTGAAATCGTACGAATGAATAAAGTGGTTACTGGGAAACTGGAATGAGCCTGAGCATGAGCCAGAATATGATTTTGGTCATTACCCCCCTTGAATTCCCAACACGTTTGAATATAATCAAGAAGGGTTGGCACTTAAACCTGAAATCAAGGAAATGGCGAAGAGGTATCAGAACAAAATGCTAATGAGATTACACTCCTTGCAATTGGCGATTGTCGGGACTTAAAATTAGTTAATGACAAAACGAAGAGGGGTTTTATAAATTTACTTACAGGGATACATACATAGTACATTTTTAAATCTACTATTCCCCCAATTAGTTAAGGAAATATGTCGCTACTTTAGTCTTTGCTTGAAATAGCTGCTTCAGCGACTACTAACTGCATATTTGGATGATCGAGTTGCAGAAAAGAAAAATTTGCATGTTTAATTAAAAATACACCTGCCTGCATTCCGTATATACGACCGTCTGAGACAGTGAGATCTCTCCAGGTTTGAAAAAGTATGGTAAAATGACGCGAAGGAATTTTGTCGAAAAGCTTTTTGTGTTTCAATAAAACAGATAGCACTACTTCCATTAATTCTGTCCGTACGTCCAAATGTTTGAAACTGACCTTGCAACAAGCTTTTCGTCTTAATATACACTGAAAGAAAATCCAGTTTACCTTATGAGGGTTAAATGACATCTAGTTGATTTGACCACAGTGTTGCTGTAATCACTTAAATATTAAGTAAAATTACTTAAATGATTGTTTAAAGCAACTTTTTGGATTTAGTTAAACACTATCTAGTTAATGTATCCAGAGTTTTAGTAAGTTTAACATTGTTTAAGGGCACTATTAACTAAAAGAAGATTTTACTTGAATATGGTAACTTTCAGCCATATATCTTGTTACACTTACTAGACCAATTTGTTAGATTTACTTAAGTATAAGGTTAAATGTAATAAATAAGCACAGCAAAAGGAACTATAATCGTTGGGTTAATATTTTACTTGACATCAAGTAGAGCTGGCTGAATATTTGGTAATAACAATGATAGTATTGGTTTGCTTTTATTATGGTAAAATCTACCCAAATATTTGATAACATTAACTAAACGGTTAGTTAGGTAGTTCTAACGTTACCACGTGTTGTGCTGAAAGTAACGCTTCTTTGTCAGCAAATTTAAAATAGCTACCTACTTAGTACTTCTGCCATTCATACAACTGAAACTCACCAAGTTCATTCGCTTTCTTTGCTTTTTCGTGAAGGATATGGCATTGCCTTATCAATTAGTGTTTTGATTTTACTTGTGGTAATAGGTACCTAGTTGTAGGTATGTGCGATAATAGTGACGTGAATGGTTACTTAGAGCATGGAGAATGGGGCAGAAGCAAGAAATTTATAAAGGTAAGTAAGCTCGATCATGCAGTTGTTTTTCTGCTGCCTAATTTTTAATTACTTTAAGTATGCACCATTTATATATTTTGCCATCAAAGTTTTATAAAAGAACTGCCTATTGTTTTTTAAGTTCATACCCACACTACACGTAAAGTATAAAATTGCTTGTCTGATGCTAGTGGAAAAGTTTTGTTACTGATACAATTTTATTGTACCTTTTACACGTTATTAATCTTAACAATTAACAATTTATACTAATACCTTATTTTTTAATAGAAAACAATGTTACCATGAAGACTTTAGCAGTGATGACGCCATCTAATAGTGCCAAAAATTTGATTAGGTAAACCAAACCAGTGGTCATGCCATATTTCTCAACCTAGAAGAGGCGAGGCAAATTAAAGAATCAGTTGAACCTACAGGTTAGTAGCAATGGAATTTTCAAATTTTCGAGTTTAACATTTTAAATTGCGATGTAGTCGATAATCTATCGAAAGAGATCAATGCTAATGTGTTTGATTTGACAACTGGTTTATGTTATGTCAAGTCAACCGAGTGAGTTTACTTTATTTTAGTAGGTATACCCTATGATGATTATCTTTAAATAAAAATCTCCTCCCCTAATTATGTAATTTTTATCTGAAGGTATGATACAAAATCATACCGTACCTATACCAATGTGTAGAAGTTGTTCTTTCTACATATTGATTTGTAGTCATTGTATTTTATATGAACATCCTATACATATATTGTAGATGCTTCTATTGTAACACAGAATTAATATATTACAGGTTCTGGAGATGATTCAAACTTTGGCGCCTTTCTTTGCCTGCCGGCGTATTAACTTCCAACAACGGCAAGAAAAGAACAAAGGAACATGGAGATCCACTAAACTGGCGGCCAAGGAAGGATGTATTACTACATCAGTTGCTACAGACAACTTGGTTAAGGAAACTGTCAATAGACGAAGGGAGAAATGCAAGAATTTTGGATTTACGTTGTAGCGGTTCAGCATTGCAGTAGGTCCAACGCTTAATGAAATAAATAGTTATTTACACAAGTCAGAAAAATGACACATTCCTACTCACACATGTAGTGTTGTTTTACTGATGAGTTTTGTATTGCAGGTTTCCCGAAATCGTCTTTTTTTTTATATAAAATTTCAATTTTCGGGACAGGAGGCTTAATGTTACTGCCACTACTGCCTTGAAAACGAAAATTTCGTGAAAATATGACAATATGAAAATGAAGGTGTGATGACGATTTCGGGAACAAACTGTTGTACCTACCTATTGCTGTCTTATAAATATGTGAATATTATTTAGGTATTGATGCTTATAGTCTTTTTTATTTTTTTTGGCAATAAAACCATTTTATGTTTCAAGTCTATGAATTAGTGATTTTTGACCTATCTTCTTGCAGTATCAGTAGCTAAAGTAGTAGGTTAAAAGAACATGAAAGGAGGTAAAAATATACAGTATACTATGGTAGTTTTTACTAATTTGTAAATTGAATTTAACTATTTAATTTGGCATTCAAGCCAATCAAGAAGGCTAAAACTGCTATACAGATAGCAAACTTAACCTAACCATAATAGTATGGCTTGCCTAACTACTTCATTACTAGCAAGTAAAATCCACAAGACACAGATTGGTACCGAATAGTACATCCTATTATTGTCTAGTTAAGTTTAACCAGACAGTTATGGTTATCTTCACCCCTAATTTGTATTATTTACCAGATATTTATAATGTTATCAACTAAATAATATCGTCTCTTTAGACATATTGTGTATTGTAAATTTTACCATATTAAGTTAAATCCACTGTATGTCTTTAACTAACAACGTACAGGTAATTTTTACTATACGTTTGGATATCCCTTTTTTATCAATATTTTAGGGTTATATTAAGTTTTTTCTGGTGTATTTTACCATCAATTTCTTTCAGTGTAGTTTTAAAGAAAGGATTTTTAGGCCTTACCAGAGCTGTGTGGGACACTGGCTCATCTAAGATCCTAAAAGAGCTTGAAATGTCAAGAGTTTAAGCTCGTCCTACACCTAAACATTTTGTCTTTACAGCCCTTTCATAAGAGTTTGAACTTTGGATTTAGCAAAATACTTCAAGTTTCATCCCCATACATCAATTGCAACTTACACTTTGGTTGGATGTGCGTACAAGCGGTCATACAGCAAACGTCCCATGGGAAATCAATTTCTTGCCATTCTGGCGTCACATCTGCAGCTGCGGCAATAATCTGAGAGATTCCTAGTAAGGGTAAGACATATACCCTGTCTTTAATGAACCCCAAAGGAAAAAATCCAGGGGGGGTCAGGTCTGGAGAACCTCTAAAGTGATTATCGAGAGCATCTCGTTCTTAAGGTAGACTGCTCCGTCTTGCTGGAAGTAAATGTTCCCATCTGCATGTAACTGTTGGAACACAATTTCCGACCGTATTATCCAGATAAATACCGTTTATGGTTTTCTCTCGAAACCGTCCGTACACCTTTGTTTTACTTAAAGCACAAAAAATATTCACTTTGTAATACTACAATCACTTCGAACGAAATTGCTATGCCAGTAGGGGTAAATTGTAGGCCTACTATGACGTTCCTTTTGATACTTGGTACGAAATTTACGTTGAACTCTTGTTGATGACTTTGTTTCTTCCATCCAAAACACACAACGAGCACGTTTAGGCCCTGTGAAATCTGCCATATTCCTAGTGGATTCAGCGCTACAACAATACAGTAATGAAACCTGAAGTATTTTGCTACAAGATGACACCTCAATCACATGTTTAAGTCTTCTTAATAAAATTCTATAATATTTATTTATTTATACTTTATTAGATAATATTTACAAAGAAATTCTTATAATATGCAACGAAAGTTGTAAAGTCTAAAGATTTTAGAAAATTGGGAGAGCAACTCCCAAGCGAAGTAGTTGGTTTAGTCCAAAAACGTTTCTTTTGTTTCTCTCTAGCGCCCAATTTTACATACTTGTTTGGTACAACCTACATAATGTTAGCAGAGCGCTATTAAAAAAATTTTTCTTTTACCACAACTAAATAGTGGCAAATTATGATCTATGCATATAAATATGTCATATTTAGGCTCGGTATTATTTTAAAATTCATTAATAATTGAACAAAAAAACAATAATTAATGATTCGAAACAATAATAACAAACTTCACAAACGGTTCTTTTCAGAACCACATAAAGTTTTCAAAAGAAATTCGTGATGTCATAAATCAAGTAATATCTTTTATTTGCAAAACTCGATAACTCGGAAACGATTGCATTTGGGTACACCATGCTTCTTACAAATTATGCTCAAAATTGAGAGAAGAATTGAAATATACTGTTCCATTTAAAAAAATGCAATATTGGTGATCCACGCCTTTATGACCCTGTATAATCAAAATTACAGCTGCCTAGTAGACATTAAGGAACCTCAAATTTTTTGTAAAAAACTTTTCTTGGTACCTTGTATAATTTTCATCGACCGTTTCCAGGCAGATCAGCTACCCTGTATAGTGTACATAACTTTTTTTACCTCATATGCCTACAAGGGGACGGATTGTCAGCTTCAAATCGGATTGGGGCCTTTCATACTCGGGACGGTTCATCCCTGGTATGCCATTTCACATCCAGGGTTCCTTATAACCAGCAATTGACAATGTGAATGAGTGTGACATTTCAAAGGCACGTGAAAACTCCCCTAAACTAGTAACCCCAATTTTGCATGCCGCAACTTCATTTATCGTTCATTATACAGCGTTGTGTATATTGCGATGAAATTGGACCATGTTTCCATAGAATTGAGAGCAGGTGTTCTTGAACAATAAACACCTCACAAACGAATAAACCCAAGAATTCTTCATACCATGAGCTATTCCTACCCAGGGTTAGTCATACCCAAGATCATATATACGGATCACTTACTGGGTTGTGATTTACATTCCATAAAAATGAAATGGAGGCGTGTTCGGAAATACGCCCAAAACCGTCGATATTGTTTTTGGATTGGGCATATTTTCACACAAAATGTAGGGATACAGGGTGTCCTAAAAAAGCGGACCAGAAAAAATATTGTTTTTTACATATAAATGCCCGTACACTATTGCATTTTCGGATTCTCCGAACATTCTAGACATGTTACATATAAATGTCGGTATTGATTGAATGGTTTAAGTTGCAATAAAGTGTTACTTTAATATTGGAACGTAAATATTCCGTGTTGAAGATAGGTATCGGACATTTACATACAATTTTTTGGAGAATCCGAAAACGCTCCCTGTATATCTACGTTTTGTGTCAAAATATGCGCAATCCAAAAACAAAATCGACGGATCTGAACGTATTTCCGAATACGCCTCCATTTCATTTTTATTGAATGTATCCGTAAGTAAATCACAATCCAGTAACTGATCCGTATAGTATGAACAACCCTGGGTAGGAATAGTCCACGGTAAGAAGAGTTCTTGGGTTTATTCGTATGCGAGGTGTTCAACTGTTCAAGAGCACCTGCTCTCAATTCTATGGAAACATGACCCAATTTCATTGAAATAAATCCCTCTACCTCTGCTCTATGATTCAGTTCTTCATCGGTCTTCATTGCGAGTTTCGTCCGTTACATTGTTTTGGGGGCATTGCTGTGACAACGGAATGTTTTTTTTAATTTACTTATGCCATATTGATGCAAGTTTGGACGAACTCGACCATCCGTTAATTAATTGCTGCAAAATGTACTCGGCTAAGGGAAACCGATTTTGCGAGGGCTGCAGTAACGAAGCAGTCGATTCCAACCTTTTTTTTTAATTGTCTGAAAATATCAGCGAGAACCGAATCGAAAATAATCAGAACTGTAAGAGGAGACGTGTACATAAATAAATGACTCAATTAACGAATGAAGTCGGCTTTCAGTAGATGCGCTAATGAGTAGGTATTGCTGGAATCAATTGAGAAGACGCGGAAAAATAAGCTCTCGTTGAAAAGTGGATGGAAAAAAAAACTAACCGGCAAAGCTCGCAAATTGTATACCAATCGCTACCACGTGTTGCATAAAGGTAGACTTTACAATTGCTCAGACTTACGAATGGTTGTACTTGTGCGTTGTAAACAACTCTGTTCATTCAGTTTCCCCTTCCACTTGGTTGAGAACGTGCTCAGCATTTATTTAGGTAGGTAACACATTATCCTATGGCTACTATGGGATATGTGCTGAAAATTCATTGCGAACAGAACAAAGCACCAGAGTGGATGTGTAAATAATTGGATTACGTCGTACCATCTTCAGTAATGATACAACCCAAAATTTGGGCATGGAAGAAGTGCTCGTCAGTTTTGCCACATGTCTATTTAGATTCATTCTCATGCGACTCCACTGAATGTTTTCTGTTTCCTAAGTGGCGCTTAACCGAAGCCCCAGTATGAAACATTTCTTATAAACATCTAATCAGTTGTAGATAATTAGTTAATTATTAGAGACCACTGAAATGAGTGCGGATGGTAACGAAAACAGAAAAAAAACAGGACGATTGTGGGTTTGCGGTGTTATTGGTTATCTCTAGCCACGCGAGGATAAAATGCAATTACTCACTCAGTATTCTACTTCAAGTCAAAACCCTAAAATTATTATGCTTACCTTTCCCAATAGTCTTGGCTCTCACTTTATCACTACGTATCGATAAATTTAAAGGTTCGTTTAATTCATGCGTGGCGGCAAGTTTTGGCACACTATCCGATACACGAGATGCACTGATGAAGGACATCTTTGATTTGTTTGCAGTCTCTTCGCCGTTGTTACACTTTGGAGAAATACTCTGTATCCCCAATATGTTTTCTATAAAATGAGGGGTTGGTCTAGTGGTTAATTTTCTGTACACGTGTTCGTGCCACGATAGAGTCCCATTCTCAAATTGCACACTTTGGGATGCGTCGTTATGGCACTCTGTTTTTGACAAATTCGGAGAATAGGCTTCTTGTACACGAGTCTCAGCAGTAACCGATTCGAAAGTATTCTGCACCGAATTTTCCGATGACATCTCTGAGGCAAACCATCAGAACAAAAAAAATTGTCACGCGCGTTTAAATGTATGACTGATCAAATAACGCGCGAATTAATACCTTCGTTGTTTACGAACTGAACTGCGTCGTTGTCGCTTTCAGTTTTGCGCCCCATAAAGCAGCGCATACGACTAAATGCGGAGGAAGACGAATTCGGAAAATTGAAAGCTCGAGATTGCGCGGTTATACAACGCCATCGACGCGTCGTTTTACCACCCCTTAAGATACTATATGCTTTTCAAAATAATCCCTTGTGTCATTAAATGGAATTAAGGAATGTAGCTTCCAGTTGTTAATAGAATGCCTGAAATTTTGCTCATTCTCTTTTAACAGAGGTTTAACAAAATTCATCCCCTATTCCAATTCGCTTCAAATTCAAATCTTCCAGATATTTCGTAATTATTCAGTTTTATTCAGGATAAATTACACGAGTAGGCTATTTACCACCAATTTTTACTTAGGGGAATTCGTCGGAATAGCAATTTTATATACCCACTTGCGCGAAAATGTAAAAATTAATCAGTTTTCATTAACATTACAAAGCTCGTGTTTCGCGAAACCGCTTTCCCACTTCATGGTGTTATACTTAGTTGGGCCATGGGCTATTTAAGCCGGAATTAGGAAGTAGAGTTCAGGCAAAATATGACCCGGTTTTTTTCAATCGGAGAATCGAAACGGTTACTTTGTGGTACGCAAGAAAAGTTTCATTGGCAAAGGGAAAGTGCAAAAACTAATTTGACAATTCGGAACAACTGACTATACGAGTATAATAACAAAAAAGCCATTGTTGTAATACAATTAGGGAATGCAATACCGGGATTGCGGGATCCCGAAATACCGGGATCCCGCAGCTCTTTTGCGAGATTAATCCCGCACATAAATGGAGCGGGATCCCGCGGGATTTGCGGGACTGAGGAATTTGTCGACCAAGGGGACGACTCTGTTTACTTTGTTAATGAAACTGATAACGGCGAATTATTTTTTAAATAATTGTTAAACTTTTTTCGTTAAAAATGTACTATGATTTTTGAGGCACTTTAGACTTTTTGTGCTTTACAGGTAAGATTTTTTGAGTTCTAAGTTAGGCCGAAGGTACTTTTTTGTTAAATATTGTGATAATTAGAGATTTATTTTAATACAGAAGTTAACCGCACAGAATTGCTTATTTGCCAATTTATTTAAAGTTTTGCGCAAATTCCGGGATCCTGCGGGATTAACATCTAACAATCCCGCAAATACCGGGATTGAGATTTTGCTGCGGGATTGCATTCCCTACTAGAAACCAATTTCGAATTCAAAGGGCTGTAACTTTTGAACTAGTAGCCCAATCTTGGAACTGTTTGAAATTATTGATTCTACAGGCCACATTCTATAAGAAAATTTTTTTCCGGGTCGATCTGAGAATTTTTTTTGAGGGCCTCAAAAAAAGGCCTTCCTTTTTTACCAAAAATCGACTGCACCAAAATTTCTCGGGAAAACACTTTATCTGATTAATTTTGGTGCGTAGAATCCAAAACAATTCGTAATATTTCGATCAGACTTCTCAATCAAAAGTTATAGACTAGAAACCAATTTCGAAAGAAAATTCAAAGGGCTGTAACTTTTGAACTAGTAGCCCAATCTTGGAGCTGTTTGAAATTATGGATTCTACAGGCCACATTCTATAAGAAAATTTTTTTTCCGGGTCGATCTGAGACAATTTTTTTTTCGGGCCTCAAAAAAAGGCAGTGTAAAACCTTCCTTTTTTATCAAAAATCGACTGCACCAAAATTTCTCGGGAAAACACTTTTTCTTATTAATTTTGGTGCGTAGAATCTAAAACAATTCGTACTTTTTCGATCAGACTTCTCAATCAAAAGTTATAGACTAGAAACCAATTTCGAAAGAAAATTCAAAGGCCTGTAACTTTTGAACTAGTAGCCCAATCTTGGAACTGTTTGAAATTATGGATTCTACAGGCCACATTCTATAAGAAAATTTTTTCCGGGTCGATCTGAGACAATTTTTTTTTCGGGGCTCAAAAAAAGGCAGTGTATAACCTTCCTTTTTTACCAAAAATCGACTACACCAAAATTTCTCGGGAGAACACTTTTTCTTATTAATTTTGGTGCGTAGAATCCAAAACAATTCGTACTTTTTCGATCAGACTTCTCAATCAAAAGTTATAGACTTAGAAACCAATTTCGAAAAAAAATTCAAAGGGCTGTAACTTTTGAACTAGTAGCCCAATCTTGGAACTGTTTGAAATTATGGATTCTACAGGCCACATTCTATAAGAAAAATTTTTTCCCGGGTCGATCTGAGACAATTTCTTTTTCTTGCCTCCAAAAAAGGCAGTGTATAACCTTCCTTTTTAGCCAAAAATCGACTGTACCAAAATTTCTCGGGAAAACACTTTTTCTTATTAAATTTGGTGCGTAGAATCCCAAACAATTCGTACTTTTTCGATCAGACTTCTCAATCAAAAGTTATAGACTAGAAACCAATTTCGAAAAAAAATTCAAAGGGCTGTAACTTTTGAACTAGCAGCCCAATCTTGGAACTGTTTGAAATTATGGATTCTACAGGCCACATTCTATAAGAAAATTTTTTTTCCGGGTCGATCTGAGACAATTTTTTTTTGGGGCTCAAAAAAAGGCAGTGTATAACCTTCCTTTTTTACCAAAAATCGACTGCACCAAAATTTCTCGGGAAAACACTTTTTCTTATTAATTTTTGTGCGTAGAATCCAAAACAATTCGTACTTTTTCGATCAGACTTCTCAATCAAAAGTTATAGACTAGAAACCAATTTCGACAGAAAATTCAAAGGGCTGTAACTTTTGAACTAGTAGCCCAATCTTGTCCAAAACAATTCGTACTTTTTCGATCAGACTTCTCAATCAAAAGTTATAGACTAGAAAGTAATACAATCGAAGGTTTGTGATCATTTTGTAAATTTTGTGGTAAAATACAATGGTTTATAGACCAGAGGCAGATTTAACATTTTATCGGGCATGGGCTAAAACTTGGATCGCTCCTTTAAAAAATGCTTCAAATGGCCCTATGGAGGAACCAAGAATGCGATTTTTACACCACCTCCATAATAAATTATACAAGTTGTAAAGGTGTGGCAGTCGCGTGGATGGATAGAGCCCATTTTTCACTAGATGGTAGCTAAAACGATGTGTAAGAAACACAAAAACAGCTTTCGATGGAAGCTTATTATCGTCATATTTACATTTATTTCCTTGCTAATGAGGACATCTCTCGAATTCCGTTCGATTTATTTGTCGTGTTGTTTTTAGGGGAATTTTTCGAAAGATTATGTAATGGTTTTGTCCGTCTGTCTGTTCCTCGTTTAACTCGAAAAAAAAGAAATAGCAATGTAAAACTTTCGCCAATCGATTTCTTCGAGTTCAACGATCAGTGCTATTGAATATGAGCCGGATTAAAAGCCTGGTTTACGAATGGCTGAGTGGCAATAAATTCCCCTACTGAAAATCGTATGCGATTCTTCGCATTTTGTTTGATTTTGTTACGCTTTCTAAAATCTTAAAACTTTTCTAGAAGGCGTGGGACAAATTTGGCTTCAACTCTTCTCATGTGCAAATAATCTTCGGAATTATTCCAGGCATCTCACAGAGTTGATCAATGATTTGGGCCGATGGTCTTCACGAACGAGAGCATTGATTCGTCATTTCTTGACGTTGAAGGGTGTCATGAACGGGACAATATTAGTTTATTTCCATCAGTGATCCTGCAATTTTTCGATTGAGCCGAAAGTGCTACCAGTATTTCAACAGTAGAAGGCGTAATGATAGCATTGCATTTTCTTACATTGCATGTTCAGATGACAGATCTTTAAACACGTCGGGTCAGAAAACGTTTGCTTACTGACAACCACCAAACGAAGTGGGAGTTTATACTCGTTCCTCACGTGTCTTAAGGTTTTGTTGAACATCGGATAAAAGAATCGTAAATCGGATTTTTTTCAAATTAGAAATTTGTAATATATCGACAATGAAAATGCTTGAAGTGGGGGCACTTTTTGAGTTAAAGTTATCCGACCACAGAATTTAACAAACCAGTCACAAAATAATGCCATTGGAGGTTTTCTTTGAACCACCGTTAATTATTTTGTGTTTGACCCCCGATTTTGCCAGTTAATTTTCCGTCCGTCCGTCTTTTCCACTTATTTCTGCTCAAAAATAACGGTGTCCATCTTGACTGACCTGAAGTACACGGTATAAGAAGGTCAAGTCACTTGTACGCAAGATCATAGAAACTTTATTTCATGTACATCTAATCGCGACTATCGATAGCAATAATTTACTTGGACATAAATATTATTAAATACGAACAGTATGGGTGTATACCCTTTGGTAAATAGTTGGATCATACGTTACGGACTTATTGTAAAGCTATTCATCACAGTATAAAAATGAAATATATCTCCTTAAACTATCTGTCCTTAGTGTGATCTTTTATCCAGTTTAAGTACTCAGTAACTCTCGTGTAAACACCAGGATAACCCGGTTCACCACACTTGTTGCCAAAAGAGACTACTCCCACCTGTATCCAACGAGTGTCCCAATAAATCATTAAGGGTCCGCCAGAGTCTCCCTAAAACCGAGAAATTTAAGTCAGATATGTACCACGTCTCAGTATTACCTGACACGCATCTGTTCCTCCATGAGAATAACCTGCGCATATAAAGTTTGAAGTTATCGGTTGGAAATAGGCGTCGTCACAGTCTTCATTTCTCCAAATTGGTAAAACCGCTTGTCTTTGAGTTGTACTTTCTTTCCCTCCTACAAAACTGGATTACAATGCGCCATCAAGAAAATGTGAACCTACCATAATATGTAGTGCCCCAACCGACGACAGTTGTACGCTGTCCTGCAAATTTCTCATTCCTCAACTGGGGGGGTGGTAAACAAAGTGGAATCACGTATTTTGACTTTCGAACTAGTCTATCTAACACTAGAATGGCAATATCGTTGTAGAAACCTACTCGACTAAACTTATGGTGAGCTCTAACTTCGGTAACTTTGTACGTAACCGGAGCAGAGGGTTCGTCCTCTCTTTTCAGATCAATATCGCCCAACCTAACTGTAAACTGTCGAGCTGCAAACCTACAACGTATTTTAGATTAATTTAAAGAAAGTTTTTTTTTATAATTACGGTCGTTGTTGGGAGTCTTTGGTACAGTGAGCTGCTGTTAACACATGTTTAGCGGTGATAAGTGCACCTCCACACCAAAATTCCGTCCGACGATTACCATGCAAAAATATAGCAGCCATCCATGGCCATCGCCCTGGTAAGGATTCTTCCCCACCAACAACCCTGAAGTTCGCTGTCTCCGGCTGCCCGCAATCTAAATATTATTTCCTTACTTACTTCTTCAAACAGTAACGCGTTACCTTCAGGATCGACAATGCTTCCGACGAATGCAGAAATTGGGGCCGCAGTAGACGATACTATGGGCGCGGGAATTGTGGGTGAGGTTTTCGCAACAGCGCTAATTGTGGTAGTAGTAGGGGGCGTCGTCGTTATAGGCTTAGGGACAGGTACCACGTGACCTACAGGTCTGGGACAACAAACTCCGGGTACGAAAATACTTTTAAAACACAATGACTGCCGCAAATTGCTGAGATTTAAAAGTAACTGAGGACAGTCGCTCAAATCGTCGCAGTATCTGAAACGAAGAACAGCTCAATTAACTCACAATGTGCCATTTAGTTTAATGATAACTAATGGACTATAATCTTCGTAAGGCACATGTTATTTCATTACTTGAAATTACTTGAATAACGCACCATAGAGATTTCAATGTCGCCGAGTCCTAATTTTGATGGTTTAGCTCTTTGTTTGCCGTTGGAGTGACTATATAGATTATATAAAGATATAACGATCACTATGTATTTAATACATTAAATCATTAGAAGGAAATTAAGACGAAGAAAATATGGTTCTTCCAGGGTCTACACTATATCCAGTGTGGGTCGCGAATAGGCATTTATTTTATTCCTTCAAATTTTTAAATCAAAGCATTGAAAAGCTCTCTGAGTGCTTATTCAATGTTAAAGCCAACTATCGATATTGTTGAACGGACGTCACGATCGCTCGACACAGACAAACTAAACGTTCGAATTAAACAATATACCTCCGGAACTGAAAACCTTTCAAACTATGTGTAACTTACCCTATCGCACCGTTTAAAATTTGAGGTGGTCTGGTTACACTGCTAAGGATAGAAAGATATGTTATAGGTAGTTCAATTTAAGATCTTCCCGATCTTCAAATATAGCCAGTTCAATCGCCACGTTTTTTCAGCTTGTTTAGTTACTCGAAAGTAGCCGTTTCACATAACGAGACATGGATAATTAAGCGGATAATTATCGCAATAGTTAAATTTTACTGAAAGACTGGCAAGCTGACCCTATAGCAGGTTATGCGCTGCTTGAAATTTTCTCAATGTCTTTTTCAAAGTTTTCCAGTAGGCTAATTAAAATTTGAACGAATTTAAGTAACTTTAACGCACACATCAGGTACAAAAAGAAGACCAAAGAAGTGTACATTATAATGATGTTCCTGAGCTCCTTTAAACTTGATGTTCAAGATTGTGACTTTAATTAATTGGTTTGAAATATCTCTCGGGTAATTGCATTTACCAGTATGTAGAATAACTAAGATTTATTTCTATATTTGGCAAGCAAAACTTGACAACGAAAAGAAAGTTACAAAAATGAGTGTAATTATAAGAAATTATAGACACTGAAGTAAAAACAGGGAGACAGTATCAATAGATAAAATAAATCGTTCAGTGAAAGTAAATAATCTCTCTTGCTAAATATGCGTTTGCTGTAAGTTTGCGATGGTCTACCGTTGAATTGATAAATAAATAAAATGGAAAGAGTAAAGTGTGGCAGTTGTAGATTTTAGTGTAACAAAACCGTGACAAATTTTAACCGAATTATAACCAGTACGATACGCCGAGTTGAGTTGATGATATATCCTAATTAAAATTAGTAGATAATTAAATGTAGGTACGCTCACTCTGCGACCCGGTATTTCGGTTATATTCACATTACCTGAATTATGGCCACTCCATAAGTTGTATTTATCGAATTAGAAAAGGGGTTACGCAAATTTGGAGTCCTTCAACGCTAAGACAATCATAAAAGGCCGAATAAGTAATTGGCAAAAACTAATAAAATAATCGCCCACTCATGCCTTATTTTTCTGCTCCTACTCTTACCACACACGCAACTCGTATATTTTATTTCCACATTGTCATAATTTTCATGAAATTAGTTTAATTGGATTCAATGAGACAACTTCGTTAAGAAAATGTCAAACGTACTACTCTCGATGAGCAAAAGACTTTTCTACAAAAAAAACCAGGGACGTAACAAGTCACGTGCGGTCCCTGGCGCAACATCAAACACACGGGATAATCGGGAAAACCTTAAATTGTCTCTAATTAGTTTGATTCGCGGATTAATTAATTTTATTCGTAGTTTAATTAATCAATCCGCGAATTAAATTAATCGATCCATGAATTCAATTAATCGGACCGCTGAATGTATAATTAAACTGCGAATCAAATTGATTAATCCGCGAATCAAATTAATTAATTCTGAGAAATCAAACCGCTACTTAAATCGACCCGCGGATTAACCTAATTATGTAGTAATCAATTTAATTGATGACGTCATGAATTAAATCAAATGGGAATAAAATAATAATATTGGGAAACAGTTTTCAGGAAAGATCGAATTTTCTTATGGTACGCGTAACCGCGGCGGTCTAAAAAAGTGAGAGTATAAGTCACTTTTTAACAGCTCTAAACTTTTAAATTTTTAAATTTTGCGTAACTCCATTTTTTCAAATGGCACCCCCATTTTTTCTTCACTGTTGTGTTCCTTTTTCCGAGACCGTTAATTTGATACAAAATGTCAAAAGCTGCTTCTAACTGTTTCGAGAGTGAAACTGAAAAAATGATTGGGAAGGCAATACTTCCTTTGGTCACGAATTGGCAGGATTTTAGAATAATATAGTATTATAACTATGTAATAATTTTTGCAACTGGCGATCTGACCAGAACGCCCGTTCTTATGACTTTAATTTGATAAGAAATGGTTTAAAAATGTTCTTCCTCAATTTTGTCAGCTAAATTTGTTTTGTTTTCCTTGTAGTTTACTCAAAATGTGCGTAATAGGGAAGAAACAGATGGTATGGCGTAGCAATTTGGTCGGGCGTATTGTTTATTGCAGGATTATTGTTTTGGCATGAATTTTTCTCATTTGGGATGCAGATCCTCTACCTTTAAAATAAACTTGTAACAAACGAGCTCCTAAGTCACTGAAAATTTAATGAGTTCTTCCTTGGGTGATGAAAATTAGAAACCGTTAGCGACATATCAGACAGACGGACGGACGGACCAAGAACTCGCTCAGGAGTTCGCTAATAGAGGAATCTTTCTTTTTCAGGTGCGGAAACAGACCAGACATAAGAACGTAAGAATTTTGCGCGAAGGTTGTCTAGTATAAGTTTTAAGCTTTGTGGGCAGATCGGGGTTTTGGGCAGCATAATTCGTATGTTAGGGCGTAACAACTATTAACCTGAAACAAGACTAAATGTATAAATATAAAATAACACATTTTTTAGAATTTCGGGTCTTTGAGTCATGCAATGAAGTTACAGTTAGCGATACGAGATAACCGCAACTACATTTAATCATAAAGACGGTTTGTGCCTTACGCTAGGCTAAAGGGGGCTTTAAGTTAATTACCATTCTAAATTGCTAACAGTTTATACTTTATAGCATACCTAGCGTTCAGTTGGAAAATGATGTTAATTTTTTCAGTAAAATTTCCTACAATTATGATCGATCGATTGACAAAACACACCGCAGAATGTTTTGTTAATTAAAGTCACGTATTCATTTTTAAACGTACATAAATTCGTATATGCCAATCAAAGAAAATAACTCCATTTGATGGAGTAATCTTCCATGCAACTTTTGCACAATGCATTTCCGCCGTACCTACAAACTTGCTACAACGCTGGACGAGAGCACAAATTTGGCTATTAAATTATTTTCTTTATTTATAGAAAATAGTTCAGTTCTTACCTGAAAGAAAAAAATTTGATTCAATTCAGACCCCAAAAGTGCAATTTAAAGAGAAGGGGTATGTGCGTGTTGAAGGTCGAGCATCCTATCGTTTTGGGTCAAACTAGAAAAACCCATTTTCGCAATCTTTTGAGCACTTTTATGCTGTAAATTAAAACTGGTGGGCACGTGTCGTTCATTGCGGTCTTAGCGTGGGTCTTGTTTCTAATTTCCTACGCTAACACCAAAATACTAAATACTATGCATTGTGATGAGCGCAAAACTGTGGTAGAAGGAGGATACATACTAATCAAAGAGTGTGCGAGGAAAGGAGAAATGCATTTCACAAAAGTTACCTCAGCATACTAATTAGATAACATTGAGGGAATTCCCAACTTTCTAAATGAATCTAGGCATCCAGGATGCACGGTGATGACCACCTGTATTTTTCCCTTCAGAGTTAGTGAAGTAACGGCGATTCTAAATTGGGGTTAGTGTTCATTACACCTGTTTATGTAAGACGTAGATTCCCGAGCACGATTTAGTAATACCTATTATTATAATTAAGCTGTAAACACACATTACTCACCCATTAGTACCATCCGGCGTGGTACACGTTCTTGGATAATTTTCACTTTCATCTGTGGTTTGCGGTTTCTGTTGATAACTTGTAGAATGTGTTTCTCTAACCAAAGGTGAAACTAATGGCGATACCAATGGTTTTATGGTATCGGTGACGTTTCTGCCCAGAACATTTTTTGATATCGTATAAATGGCACCTGGAACATCGTCGGGGAGGTCCGTGTCTTCTCCACCGCGAGTCATGTTAATTATATATCTACCAACGGTGTTTATAGCACCTAACGTTTCTGAAATGGCCGATAAGGTCTCTGGTCCAAAATGTCTTCCAGATTCGACATCTTCCGCATTCGTACTGCGTGGCTGAGGGATTCGTACCCATCTTCTTTCAACAGGTTCACTATATGCAAAGTACCTATAGCTAGGTCTGGTACGGTAGAAATTATTCGAACCATTTACGATAATCAGTAACGAGCCTGAAATAAACCAAAGTATCGTTTATGTAATATAATACAGCCAACGGCAATAACACGTTGAAGAGTAACGATATTACCAGTATGAAGAACGCCAAGGAAAGTAATGAATAATTTCCCTTTCACCAATACGAGCAATAGCATCCGTTTGATGTAACTGGAATTCCCTACCTGCTGTAACGTTTCGTGCCGCATAAACCAATAGTTACCGATTTTGAAAATGAGTGCATTTTTATAGTTTACAAAACACGCTATTTTTCCAGTTGGTAATTGAATTAAAAACTTCATAATTTGCATAGAAAGTTGCGTAGGAACATTCAATTGTTTATTGTGTTCAAAACTCTAATTCGCTAATTGGTGCAGGGTTTCAGCATGCACATCCACACGTTGAGGTAAATAGGAAAAACGTTACTCGTTACTTAATCTTGGGTTCACGGTGAGAGATCACAAGTAGCTGTGACAATCTCGTGCTTTTAGCAATAATAAACAATGCCAGTAATTGGTACAATGTGCACTTACCAACCGCGCAATAGATCCAAACGTGCATTATGAAAAGTAAAGTCAAAGAACAACATTCGACACCGCACACTACTAAATACTTTAACAGAAAGTCAACAATGACCCAAATTTGTTTCAAGAGCATCAAAGAAAGTGACTGTTTTTCTCCCTTCTTAAGCAGTAAATTTCTCCCACTGCATACACATGCATAGGTAGGCTTTTTACTTTCGTTAAAACAAATTTCACTTGATAAACTCTCAGACGGTGCCAATGCCGATAGCCGATATTTAAAAGTCTTGTTTTGTTCATATTCATCTTACTACTATCTCGATTTACACGAGTAAGCTGAAGGATACATTTCTCCGTTTTACGACCAAAACAATTACCTGCTGACATGAATATTAAGAACTAGCAAAGGTATTACGCGCATCTAGGTTCTATCTACGATTATACTTCTGACAGAGATTTTCTAGCGGTAAAACTTAAACATTTATTAATTATTGTGTCAATTTCGGTGGTGACTGTTCTTTTTATTGCGTTCTTTGAATATTTTTATATTTTTAAGATACACATCAGTTCCATCTTAGTATCACATTTTAGATTTTGGTCTAAGGAAAGACTGCGCCAATTTGTGATTTAATAAAAAAAAAGATAAAAAACTTAAACTAGCCCCTATGAGCCTATAAAACTCAAAACTACCCTCTATAAGTAATTCCCATCAGCATCTGTTATAATTAACTTTGTAGCAGGCTCTAAAGATCTAAAAAATCTTACTAGGTAAAGAAAGGTAAAAGGTAAAATTTAAAATTCACCAAATTGCTTTGTAGCAGGCTGGACAAAGGTTTAAAAGCTCACCTTAAAAACAAAAACACTTTTTGCAGATTCAGATACTAAAGTCGAAATTTAATGTGATTTCTTCAGCCTATCGCAAAGATAACTGTATAGAAGTTTCTCCCCTCCCCTCCGGTCCCTGATTCTGCAAAATCTGTCTTTGCACAGGTGTTTCCAATTTTTAACATGACTTTATAACAGTTTTTAGCCTGTTACAAATCTAATGGTACAATTTGTAATTTTACGTCTATGGTAATTCACCCTTTTAACCTCTAAATAAAGTTCGTATTTGGAAAAACGTTTCTTTTTTTAACGTGACTCTAAAAGTTTTTTCAGCTTATTACAAAGCTAACTAGTAATGTAATTTTACCCCTAGATATATTTGGAAGGTAGATTCGTCCTTTTAGTCTCTGAATTTGCAAAATCTGACTTTGCACACGCATTTTTAGCGCATTTCCACAAAAGTAAAAAATATGCGCTATTGGGGCAACTTTGTCAGTCCGTTCGTCAGTCCGTTCCTACGGCTGTGTCGCTACTAGATCTTTATCTTAAGAACTATTGTTCTACTTTTTCGCTTTTTAGTTTGATATGGTGTCGAGGTTTGCTACAAGAATGTTTTCTGCGTTTATTGCTAAAAAAGTTATAGGAAAAAGCAATTTTATATATTTTCCATGTAAAATTTTGTTTTTCCAATTTAGTTCAAAATTTAATTTTGGTTCGCAATCACAGCTTTTGATTTTTAGATTTAGGCCAGAAAAATGAGAATCTATACGAATAATATTATTAATCAATGAATAATTTAAAGAGTAAAAATAATTTCGTAAAAGATTTGCATGATTTTTAGATAAATTATATAAATTTGTTAACCCACGTCCTTCATCTTTTCTTTTAATATAAAGCCTTTCAACACAAGATTTAGGATGTAGGTAATTATATTTTCTTAACATTCTTCTAGTGTTATTCTATCTAAATTATTTAAATCTGTGTCGGACCACTTTAGAATTTCAAAGGAATAGGACAAGGTAGGAACTGCCCAAATATTTATAACCGTTATTGTATTATTTTCTAGAATTTAGTTTTGAAGTTGTTCAATATATTTTTGTTGAAATTCAATTTTAAGTTATGAGTGATCCAAAACAAAATTTTGTTTCATTCCTAAATATTTATAACGCATGTTAGGTAGTAGTTGCGGAATTTCATTGACTATTTGTGAATTTATAGTCGGAGATCCTTATTATGTTAATTTTAGCACATTTGTCAATTCCAAAAACCATACAGATATCTTCACTAAATTTTTTCGATGTTTTTATTAAGTTGTCTAATTGACTTTCGGATCTAGAATATAATTTTAAGTCGTCCATGTACAATAAATGTGCAATATTAGAGGCTTGTTTGAAATTAAGATTGAAACCAGCAGAGGAATCATTGAGTAACGTAGAAAGTGGATTTAGTGCTAAGCAAAACCATAATGGACTAAAAGAATCGCCCTGAAAAATCCCACGTTTAATATCAATTAATTTTAGACAACGAGTTCCGTGGACAATGATTGTATTGTATTCCATCACACCAGTGAAAGTATTAATAAATTGGTAATTAACTTTATACATTTTTAGGATATGAAGGAGTCAGTTATGTGGAATGCTTTTTTTGTAATAAATGTAACGTAAATTTCTTTTGTTATGTTTTGCATATGCTGTAACAATAGTGTCAATTGCTATATTGTTCTCGACATCCCAATGTACCTTTCGTACAGCCTTTTTGTTCAATACTTAAAATTTGATTCCTTTTACAATGGTTATTATTATTATTATTATATTTTTTGTTGTTTCATTTGGGCATCAACTACTGAGGTCATTAGCCACTAACCACTTTAAGTAATTACTATCATACTTTCAAAACCACATTTATTATTATTATTGTGCTTATAAATCCTATACCTACGCTAAGATGCTTCTTATAAAATCAAATTGAAATGACGTATCAAAGAATTCTTCAACCCTAATCAAAATGTTTTACGAAAAGAAAGGTCAAAAATCGAATGCATCAGTAAATTAGAAATAGTCTTTAAAAATGCCCAAATTTACCAAACCTGGAAAGTAAAAACTGCAAATTGGGAGCTTTATCGCAAGAAAATAGAAGCTAATTTTTATCCGACGAACATTGATAACCTAAGACCCGCATTTTCATGTATTGGGAAAACTAAAATGTGCGATAGACAACCAGTGCCATGGTGGACCAAAGAGCTTGCACAAGTCATGTCTGCAAGAAAAGCCTTTAACACCTGGAAATGGCACAAAACGGACACAAATGTTGTAAATTTAGAGAGGCTTGTGCAAAAACCTGACGTCCAATCAAAAAAGCAAAAACTATTAATCTCTCTACCCCAATAGAAGTAATATGGAACAAAATTCGAAAAATAGTGGCACAAATACGCTCCGCTTTTCCTGAACTATATGGCTCAATTTAATAGTAATGTGCTAAAACCCAACAAACCGAAAGATAACCCCACCTCGTACCGCCCAATCTTCCTAACATGTAATTTGTGCAAACTAAAAATATTAAGAAAACCCTAGCGTCAAGGATAACAAGGAGGTGTTTAAATTCCGTTACCGTAGATGTAATAAAATTGGTCATAAGGCAGCAAATCGTAATGACAAGTGCTCTCCCCGCGAATCTGCGAAAAGTGCTAATAACACAAGTTTGTTGGCTAGTGAATCATTATTTGTTGCAGATGGTAATAGAAAAAGAAAATGGCCCCTGGTGCTAATTCTCAAATTTGTAACCAGGTGAAGCGGTTTTTCTGTTGCGAATTACGTCGTACACACTAGAAAATGTACCGCAGGAATTCTTCGCGAATTTTCTGTGATGTGCCACCTGGGTAAGAGAAAACTAGAGAATACTAACATATTCATTGGCTTGTGATTGCTTGTAGGTACACATTACACATTAAATGTTAAATATTGAAATATTTTATTAAAATATCAATCAACTTTGAGGTTTTGTTTTAGTGGTTAGAGTGGTCATAGAGAATTTTATTCCCTACAGTTTCCTGTAAAATCACAAAAACTACCCTTCCCTACCAGAGAGGAGCGGATGACTCTACTTTTAAAAATATTTCTTTTGGTCCAATATACAATTGTACAAAGTGGCTCGCATTGGTCATCAAACGCCCTATAAACGCATTTTTTTACTAGGCCTAAAACCAAAATAAAAAACCCCAAATATTTCAAAAACCAAACGATATTAAAAATTGTATGATCATTTATCCAGTTAAAATAAAATAATTATAAATTCAATTTGGGACAAATCATCAGTATTATATAATTAATTCTATTATATGATGTCAGTTTTATTTGCACGCGAGAGAGTATGCGAGCATGAAAGTAAATTTAATTCTCTATGCTTACGCCATCTTTTGCCATAAAAATCGTTACTTTTTTCTCATAGTTTCCATTTTTACAGCCGATGACTGGTACTTTCCGCCTAACAAAAATCTATATTATGATCTTTGCGCCCAAGAAAACAAAAGAAACGAATATCGGTTGTCCAGCTGAAACTAATTGCTGTTGCATACGACTTGCTATATACAGGGCGACCTACTGAGACATACCAATTCATTTACTGTACGTACGCACTGATAAATAACATATGATGAAGAAGGTAGTTTTCCGAACTTCCATAATAATCGTCGAATTTCTCAACACTATTTTTTATACTATATGACTCAGTTGATAGTTTCACAACATTTTGGATATCGTAACATGAACTGCTGTAAATAAATCGTTAGGGGAAATTGACCTTATAAAAGAAACCAATAATATGAAAGTTACCCCTTTTTCGTTTAATTTTTAATTGGAGATCGCTTCCAAAGTACAATGACGAGCGATTATTTCAAACACGTGTTGGAAAAAGGTTACATAATTGCACATATGTTGTTTATTAGCAACAAATTTGACTTAATCTTCCTATAAAAGAACTTGACGCAGTAATGGCACGGAAGCGAAAAGGTAAGATCAGGAAAACCAAGTCGATTTTGAATGGTGGGAAAAAAACAAAAAAATGAAAAAACCTCACACAATGCACAAATACAGACATAGTACATAGGTGTACATGTTTTTCACATGTATTGCACCAACTGGTTGTAACGCTGCTAAATAACGTGTGTTGTGATCTTTGTATCTATATTATTCTGAAAGACGCAGGTAAGTAAAGTATACAAACAGCCGTAATATTTTCCTTTTGATTCCTAAACAGGCAATATAGCACATATGAAACTCCATCAATAGACTTATACCAATTTTAACATTCTTAGAGCTTTACCTTTACCGCATACTAATCAAATCGAATAATTTACAGAGAAAATTCGATGCTTCAAAGTCTTATATCTCACACGGTTAGTTTTGCGTAATTCGCGATTGTTATATGATTGTTTACATTACCACAAATGAAATACACGCGCTCGATTTTCTTATTTACATGTGTGTTTTCAAAATTAGTCGGGCTTTAAATTATAAACGCTATCCACATGCTTCCTCCGCTATTCTGTTCAGCCTTGTTCCCAAGATTCCGCCAAATAAGAAATGTTTCTAGGTGAATTAGTCGAAAGTACAGAAACGATTCCTTTCCTACAGCGAATTGTTGCGTACTGTAACATTAAAAGGTTGCGGATTATTTCGCTGGAAACGTGGACCTCATAAAATAGCTCAAGAATTAAAACTGGCAACATTGCCATTCTTTTTTTCAGAGGAGTTTATGTTGTAGTGTTTCCATAATTGATGGACATAGAAACCTCTTTGCTTCAAAAGGAAATTGTTTATCCGTCATTCGTGTTCCATTGGTAGTCGAGAGGAATAAAATAGTGTAACGTGGATTCTGTTAGTGAACAAGATTATTAAACCAGTTCCAAACTAATACAAATTTCTATTCTGTTACCGCGTCCTGGTAACACTTCTCCACCTTAACACTTAATCAGTTCCAATGCATTCAGGCAGACTAGTAAGAATACAAGATTGTGTTCTCTGTCCTGAATCAACAACAATCCGAAGATGTTGTTAGAATCCTGTTGATCCTTTCCACCATTCCCGGTTTTTTGATCCCAGCCCAGTGGGTTTGAGTTACCGAATTCCTGACTGCAAGCATTTTCCAGGCCGATGGGAATTGGTGCGATTACCTGAAAAGTCTGTGGACTTCTCGCAGTCCATCAGCATCCCAGCGGTCATTTGCTCCTAAACCAGTTTGCTATACGTTCACTTTGGGCAGATGTAACAAAACTACTTGAGATAGGAACACAGTAAGCTCAGGCCAAGTAGAAGTGGGCGGGGTGAATTACGGGGTTCTTATACAATGGCAAGAATAAGCAAAGAGGAAATGTAGTAATAGTAAACCGGATAGGCGCCATTTAGTAAATGTCAAAGGGAGAGGATAATACCAAAAGAGGGAGAAAAGCCAGACTAAAAGATGCTTGTTCGAATCTTGCTAAGTTAAAAAAATAAAATACTTGCTAGGGGTAGCACATAAATAATAATTGACGTCACAATCGATAGTGATTTAATCAATGATCTCAAAAATATTACAAATATGTCTCTGTAATACATAGATCTGCTATATCAATATTTGAATTTAAATTGATTTTTAGTAAAAGAAGGGGAGAAATAGACTTCCGTAGAAAACAACGAAGCTATAATCGTTAAATGAATCTCAAAAAAATGTAATAATTCCAATTCGATTGTATCGAAAACCAGTATGTAATCAAACGTTAATCAAAGAATCGACGAAAATAACGAACTACAGGTCGCAACGGCCCTGTTGAGGTCAAGAAGGGCGCGTTCTGCATATATGTAACACATAATAACACAACAAATAAATAAAAGGGGTAGTGAATAGCGCGGTACATAAAATATTGCGAAATAGCAATATCTAACGTCTGATACTAAGTAGAGGATATTAAACTGTAATTAATACTGAAAAAGAATCAATAATTCGAATGCATTTACACTAGAATAAGCAAAATTTTGATCGACCACGGGCAATTTACAAGATCGTTAAAGCCACAAAGGGGTTTCATTAATACTTACAGTTACAATTATCGAAGTGTAGGTCAGCGAACTCCAATGTGATTCGTGATTAATTCACTTGTATCTGCCAGTAAGATAGAAACTCATCTGCAGCGTTCTTGACTTGTTAACGGTGAGGTGGACATTCTCCCAAATGAATCTCTCTTGCGCAATATTGATAAATTCAAAATTCTGCGGTTCCACCCAAGAATATAGATGCAGAAAAAAAATGCATTATTCAAAGTAATGCGTAATTGTCTTGTTACATAGCGAAAAACGGCCTTAAACTTGTAAAACATATTCCATTGCAGGGGTAATAAACAGTCGTGTGTGGAGCGGGAACGCGTGGGAACGGCGTTTCCACTCTGCTTTTTCCAAGAAGATATACGAGGGTTGTCCGTAAATTAGGTTTTCACATAGTAAAGATTATTTTATTGCAACCAGTTACATATTTTAGAATCTTTGGCTTTTAGCTGTTTGTTTAACGTAATCCCCGTCACGATCAAAGGATTTTTGGTGTCCGAAAACATTTTTATACGCACTCTCCCACCGACCTGCACAGGAAGGAATTGACAGCTGCCTTCCACTCTTCGTCGCTTGAGAATACCATTCCCAGAAGTGTTGTTACGGATCGAGGAACAAATCGTATTGGTCACGGGGGCCAAATCAAGTCTGTACGGAGGATGGTGAATGATTTCCTACTCGAATTTGCCGCTGAGATCCGTTGTGGTGTGGGTCACGTGAAGGCGGCCGTTGTTAGGGTGCAAACGAACTCCCTTTGTCAGGTGGCCCTTCGTTTTTTGTTCTATATAGCCTGGTGTAACTTTTTAGTGTCTCGCAAGTACCTTGTCGCGTCGACTGTCAGAATTCAGAACGCATTTCCTATCCCAGAATACCAAAGTCATCGGCGTTTGCTTGAACTTTTTGACACTTGCAGAACTGGAATGTCGCCATTGTTTTGAGTGTTCCTTTGTCTTTGGTGTGAAGGTAGTGGTCCGAAGTGTCGTCCCCCGTTACAAGTGAATGCGCTTCTTTCTGACTGCTACTACCTGTGTACTAGTTTACAGTTTATTACTAATAGCAATATAATCACTATAATTTCGCACTTTAAGGATCAAAATCGGTGAGAATTTCGGACCCCACGTTCTGAAGGAGAGGAGGGGGGTATCTGGATCGCCTATGTTAGTCAATTCTCACACTGGAAAATTTACGACTACACCACTGGCTCGAACTCACTCATTTCTGTAAAATGAGTTTGTGTATACCAGGCGGTAGGTTTATACCAAGGTTTGTACCTATGGCTTAACAAGAATCTACTCTTACTTTATTAGTATTATAGAAATTTTAATAATAATTCTTAGTCAATCTTCTTCAAAATCCCCCTGGAAATCTTGTAGGCTTCTTAGGAACTCTGGGTCTCCACAGGCAAGGTGACATTTTGTGTATGCGCTATAAAAAGGTAACATTTTTCCATTAAAATAATTTTCGTAACACTGTGTGTCATGTTTCATCGTCAAAAGGTCTAGAATTGAATGTGACCTGCGATATTTTGAAAAATGTGGCGTTGGTTTTTCATTTTTGATAATCAAAATTTTGCGCGACTCTTCCTCACTCGTTACAATTGCAGAAAAAGTGGATGCTAATTGCTATGGCGCTTATGGCATATCATTATCGTAACTTCAAGTGATGAGGAGCATTTGAATTACACCTTGCTATCCTTGTCTGATCTGGATTGTAGGTTAATAGAATAAACCTGGAAAATAGACCGATGACCACAGCTGAACTGCACCTTAATTTCAAATTTGGCTAACGACATAAATACACCTTCTAGGTTTCCCTTGCCATTAATCATAGGTATGCCCTCTAGATCAGATACCCTTCAGGATTTTCGAATGACAAGGAGGAGGAGCACTTTCATTGGAAATAATTTGTGCCTAAATTTTTTATTATTTATAAATTTAATGGCCCAAAACAAATAACTGTGCGAATCTTCTCATACCTACTCCCTCGAACCGTTAATTGTTGTGTACTTTCACCGCGACTTTCATATCAATTTATTTCTTTGCTTTGTGGCGACTGCATTGTTTGAATTCTTGACTAATATTTGTTAATTAGTTTTTTATGCAGAAGCTTTTACGTTGTGCTATAACTAACTGGACTAAGCAACGGTCTACAATCGAGTCATGAAAAATGGTAAATTAATTAAAAGCAGTGCTTCACGAGCGAGAATAATGTAGTACCTACTTTAATAGCAACATTCAACCTTCATTTGCGAATTGCCGTCATCCGCTCTCAAATTGTCGCAGGAGTGCTCAAATTGTGTGTTGTTTATTGTGAACGCGCTTATTTTGAATTAGTTTATTTCAATCAATCAGGTACTACTCACTGATTTAACTGTGGGTGGTACTTGATAGTGCAACAGTCTACGTGTATAAAGTTCCACAATTTGTTATTCCCTTAGAACCAGGTAATTTTATATAAGTATTTTCTTTAGAAATTAGCACACCAATAAGTCGTGTATTTAAGTAATTTACAAATCTACTTCATTTCCAAAAATTGCCGGAAGAAATTACGGTTACGAAACCTAGACTAATTTTTTTAACCGAAGTCGCGTACTACCCTTAATAAACTATTCTTAATAAGCCCACTTTAAAATAAAGGCAATAAAAAAAAGTCACCCCCTGAAAACTGAAAATTGATTGCAACTTTTAATTATTCTTGTGATTAGAAAGTATACTTTTGGATAAAATATCATCCATTCTAGTGTTACTTTGGAGACTTGGACTCCTCCACTTTTACCTTTTAATTAGAAACGAGTCGTTGAATTACAGTCACGGAATATTTGTTATTCATAAACAATTCATCGTTTTATCGGTACGATTATGATAGGTAGTTGAAATGTGAAGAAACTAAAATACAAATATTGTATTACATTCGTCATCAAATTAAATAAGTAGTTTTGATTAGTGTATGGAAAACGTTAATGTAATAATAACAATTTTTCGTTAGCTATGTTTACATTACAAGTACTGCAGATTTCCCACAACGCAATGTTCGTAGGTAATCTGAATATAATTGGTTTCGGTTAATGTTTGTATTTTTATGGAAACATCCACCAATGTTCTTCATGTTATTTAAAATAGCAGAAGGTTAGTTACGTGAGAACTGTTTCTCCAGCGGCTACTAAGCTATTTCTTAATTTTCATATAACTGCCAAATTATCTTAGAATAAGGAAGTGTGTAACGTTTGCAGAATCTCTACCGGCGAGTGACACATTTCACTTTTGAGATTTACCTTATGCTTATTTAGTGATTACCATTATACGATTTTTAGCACCTAGTGCATTCATATAACTCGCGTTACTACACACAAACGGAGAATGAAAGTAGTAATTAGGTCTTTCGTTATAAAACTATTTTCGATGGTTAAAATAACCTCGCATGGTACGAGTAAGAATTCCGAAATTTTTGTTCATCGCGAGTTTTGCAATAAGCGGCGACCTTTGAAAAATTTAATTGAATAGGTTGCTTGAAATTAAGGTAACTGTCCTTGCATCAGCATTTAATTTAGCATGTTGGATGAGCAGGTTATACTAGCAATTTATAGTCATTACATTGTAAAGTCTAGGGAAGCAAGGTATCTGTTTCGGGACCATCCAAAAGGGGCGTATAGTGAACTTGAATATTCTAAACATGTCTACTGAAACAAAAGCGATTAAGTAAGTAAATTAGTGTGTCAGCATTGTAAGAAAGTAACGGGCATCCAAAATTAACTATAAGTAACAGTACATACGTGCACTTGTATGTTATTACCATATCCGAGAAACTACGACTATTATGCATTAACCACAATTATGCATTGACTATGGAAAATTAATGAAAAGCAAAGTGATTCAGAGATTTTCCGCATAAATCAAATTTTGCAGAAGCCATTTCCTATTTACCCATTCGTGTTGTTCAGGGCAAGGTTTACAATACATAAAGTTATGTAAGTAAGTAGTTTGTAATGAAAATTTGACTTTTATGGATGTAAACAAGTGCAGTCAAAATCAATTAATGAATTTGCATAATGAAAAACTGAAGAAGTCGTAACTATGCAATTAAATATTCTAACGAAGGCTATTGCTAGTAGCTGTATTACTTTAAGAAAGTTGTGCATGCATGGAAAATGATAGTGGATAGGTATACAGTGGTTTCACTAATACTTTATATATTGATCAGAAATGAGCATGTTCGAAAATTTTAATGTATCCATTGACTTTGTTTCAGAATTGAACGACCAAAAAAATTAGCGACTATGAATAAGTACGTAAAACTTTTCTTCCGAAGAATTATCAAGGATTTTCAACAGAAAGAGTTGCTGCCTTTGAAGCTATTATTTTTTGTCAATGCATCCAGTGAGTATTAAACATTTTGTACTTCTATTTCTGTATGGTATACAGGTATATGCATTTAATTATTAGTGGAATTCACTATTTAGCCTTGACACTGTAAGTATAGGTGATAATGTAAGGATTACCATAGTGGTTAGTTTTTGATGGCACAACCAATATAGCACAATCAAACAAAAAGCTTCAAATGAGGCAATACTAATGAATTACCAGTCAACCAAATTTCATCTCAATTAGAATGTTTTATTTTTAGCTTTGTGGGATTTTTAGCCCAGCAAAATTTCCGGCGCGTAAGCTCCAACCTTTTTTTGTATAATAATTATGCATATAATTAGTATATATTTAAAGAACGAGGGTTTTCTACCAATCAAGGGAAAAAGACGTAGTACCAAAGAATATGTTTTGTTACAGAAAAAAAACTTACTGCAAATAGTCTCATTATGTAAAGGTCATCAGGTACGTTCAATAGTCAATTGATAATTGCGTAATCACGATCATTACCGATCATTATAAAGAAAATCACATATAAGATAGGGGAAGTACATCTAATACGTAGTGGGAGCGAAGGGGGGCTAATTTTTTGTAGTGATAAAGATATGTAATTAAGATTAAATATGCAAAAAAATGGGTTAGTACCATAGTTTGACCTCCACAATGTAACAAAATTAACGCATCCAATACTAGGGAAGGTTATTTGATATTTTTAAAAAGAAATATTTGCAAAATTTCAATTTAGTCTTCTTTCAATGTACATAACCTTGTCAGAGTGTGTGGTGCTCCTTTTAAAAAGATCTTCATCTAATTAGCAACATTTCTTTTGTAGTTTTAGATTTGAAAAATTGTTCAATTCACTCTCATTTGGAAGCAATAAACGTAATATTTCATGTAAGTTTGGTTGGCGCTTTCCAACCTTTCTGTGCAGGGAACCATGGCAGTTTTTGTCCAGTAGTATCTCATGTAAGATACTATAACGTAAATATAATTACTTGGTTTTATTTATTTGCAAAATGACTAACAAAAATTTATAACAGTCTTAAAATAGAAACAGTAATTATCATTTATCACTTGTAAATTATAACGTAACACAAGTGCATCGAAGTTGGAACTGACCCGAAACATAATTCGGCTTGATTATATAGTAAACGACATTCTTTCTAGAATGATTTCGAGTTCTCAAGGACACTTCGGAATATTCTCGAACAAACACGTCATATTCCTCGGAAACATTACATCACATCCGCCTTCGCTCTTTATAGCAATCTTCCATGGTGGTGGTTCTTCGGGCTCGTTCTGGCCCGCGTATGGAGTCAACCGATTTATGTGCACTACCATCGGTTTTCCTCGTGGTAGCAGTGTTGCCAAGTAGTAAATGACAGAAATCTGAGAATGGCCGCCTGGAAGTCACCAGAAGTCACTAGGTGGTGGAACAGGAAAGAAAGAAAGATAACGAAATTTTTTTGGTGATTTTTTTCTCCAAAATCTAGTGATTTCTAGTAACTTTTCACAACAAAACCACCAATTTTATTATTAAATAAGTATGCAACCAAACGTTCAACATTTGACAAATTCCCTAAAATCACATCATTAGGTTTAGGGGAATTTTTCGAAAGGAAGAAAATTTCCCTTATGTGACGGTGTTGTGCGTCCGTTTGTTCCTCGTATAACTCGAGAACGAAAAGAGACAGCGATGTCAAACCTTTACCAATCGATTTCTACAAGTTCAAGGCTATTGAATATGAGCCGAATTAAAAGTCGCGTTTCCGAAAGCGAGCTGCCAAAAAATTCCCCTACTGAAAATCCTATGCGATTCTTCGTATCTTGTTTCTTTCATAACATAATAGGACTATTTACCTACTTCAGGAAATAGGACTTTTTAAATAAATGAATACACACTTTTATTGAAAAAACGCGAACATTTCGAAAATTCACAAATTTATATATAATAGCATTGCGGTTTTTCTTGAAATCACCAGATAGTCTTCACATGTATGTTGAAAATCACTAGGTTTTAGACATGTCTGAATCGTGATGAAAAAGTCTGAAATTGATCTTGAAATTCACCAGATCTAGTGACAAAATCACCAAATTGGCAACACTGCGTGGTAGTTTCCTTATCCGATAAGTCGTTTATTCTCTTCACGACTGTAACTTCGAAGATAGTCCGCGTCTCCTCTGGGGACGATACAACCAAGCCAGATCTCAGGGTTGATAACCACCAGCTTGGGCCTTCACGTCGTACTGCACTGTAATTCTTGACCAGTACTTCCCCATTGTCCTATTCACAGGTGACACATCGTATCGCGTTCTTTAGTAAATACCTTAAATCGTTTTCTTAGTTCGTCTATTTCGTTTTCTATCGTATGAATTTTATCTTGGACAGCCTATCATACGTCTTACTTCTTGTTGGCCGGCTTCAATTGTAGCTTCCATGGCTTGTTGACATCATTGTTTACTTATCAATAATCCGACACTTGACACCAATGTAACGTAAATTTATATATGTGGTTTTATGTATTCACAAAATTTATAACAGTCTTAAAATGGACTAATTTGTAACAGTAATTATAATTTATCACTTACAATTATTTATAACATAACACAAGCACATCGAAGTTGGAACTGACTCGAAACGCAATTCGATTCTTTCTAGAATATTCTCGAGTTCTCAAGGACGTTTTAGAATGTTCTCGAACAAATATGTCATATTTCTCGGAAAGATTACATCACAGCCGCCTTCGTTTTTTATCGCCAATGACTACTCTTTCATGGCGCCTCGATGTCTATCCAGATTTCTGGAATGTTCTCTACAATACTCACCTGCTTGGATCTGAAAATGAAACGTGTAGATAGATAGATGCTTTATTTCCACGTTCACCATTTGGATACACAACAAAACCAAATTTGCATTAAGTTCTAATACAAAACACACACAGATGAACCGTAGATAGGTGTATTCTGTTGAACTTACTATCATTTAAAAAATAGTTCATATTATTATTAATATTGTATAACAATTTATGGAATGATACTAGAAGAATCCCGAATTAAAAACCATTGCTCGAAATGATTTCATCTCACGCTAGCTGCGACCAATCTAGCGATTCACGAAACTAGGAAAATAAGAACAGATAAGTATGTATGGTCCAAACATTATATAATTTGTCAAAAATTAACAGAGTCAATAGTATAGGTTTAAAAATTTCAAATTCCGAAAACCAGATTCCAAAATATTCACTTACACTACACTTCCATCATTAGATAAATAATAAACCCCTAAAGAGCATCTAAAAAAGCGGTAAAGCATCTCGGTGTGACCCTACGGGGTCATTGGATTTGACCCATTTTCAATTCGCTTGTTACATGTGGCATTTAAGTCTACTGTGCAAAGTTTCAACCGAATAGGTTCAAGCGTTTGGCAGGGACAGAGAAGCGTGACCTCACGGGGTAATTTCGTGAATTTTCCTAATGCGAATTCTCCCCACGGGTGCAAAATTGGCCACTACTCGAAATGTCTTGATCAAAACTATCCGTTCACATTATTTTTCTGAAAATTATCCTACTAATTGTCCGGGTGCGAATTATCTGGGAGGGAAATGTCCAGGATACAAAATGTCCTGGGAACGAATTGCTTAATAAATATTATAAATAAAGACGGTAATGCTCTGCTATTGCTTGTTCTGATGAGTATTTAATTATAGAAGCAAAACATATTTGGTTTTTATACAGATCAAAAAAATCCGGAAATCTACATATAATTGCCTTAAATGTCCTGAGGCTGGAACTGGGAAAACCTGGAAAGAAGAATTACTTTTTTAGTAATAGGTATCATCGTTGCCAAGGAATTATAAAATTGAACAATTTCACTTGCATTTACCATTGTATTGTTTAATATTTAGCGTAACGATTATTATTATTAGTAAAATTTCTTTTTGATAAATATGAAGTAATTACTAATCACTTAAAATCCTTAAAATTTGGGACACCTAAGGTAGTTATTTAGGAGTTATCGGACTGACTGTAATATTGTGCGCGACGGCATATGTATACCTATTTTGATCAGTTTGCGAATAATGAATCAGCATTTTTTCCAATTCCCACTGACGTCTGCGATTTCCCAAAGTTTTTGTCGAAAATTAACTTGTCTACAATTTACACGCTAACGTTTTTTTTCATACCTCGTTTGATTTTAAAATAATGCATTAGAATATACAAATGAGAAACCTAATCTCTTAAAACAGTGCATACTGGATGTTACTGATCTTAATATAAAAGCGCACAAGAACTATAACATTTATTGTTTTGATTACAATGTCCTTAAAACAAGCCTAAATGTTAATTACGACCTAGGCAAACACATGAAAATAGCTAAAGATCCAAATACAATCTTAAATGCGTTTCTCAGGGAAAACAACTCCCACGTAGTGTTCACAGATGGCAGTAAAACAAATGACCAAAGCAGTCATGTAGGTTCTGCTTGCTTTTATGTCAATACAAATAAGAAATCTGGTCAAGCCCTACCAAAAGATACGTCAATTTTTACTGCAGAATGTTTTGCCATTGGAAAAGCTTTAGAATCAGTTAGAAATAGTCAAGTTGCCAATTTCGCGATAGTATCTGACTCTCTAAGTGCGCTCCAATGTCTAGGATCAGCCAAAGTTAGTATAAATTTAAATTTTTATATTCTCAAAATAAAATACGAATATAACAAAATTATGGCAAAAGATCCAAGCAAGAATATAGTCTTCGTATGGTGTCCATCTCATATTGGCATATTGGGAAATGAGGCTGTCGATGAATTAGCAAAATCTTACACAAGTAAAACCCCTACTCCTAACTTTATAATTCCTTTCACTGATTTTTCGCAGAAAATTAAAAAAACTTCATATATTAATACTAATGATTACTGCTTAGAACAATCCATCTATAAAGGTTCCAAATATTTCAAAATTTTTTACAATGACTCGCCTAAAACTTGGTTCCACAAATCTAGAGTAAATCGTAATATTACAGTATCAATAATTAGATGCAGAGCGGATCACTACAATCTCGCTACCTCATTGTTCAGGGTCAATATCGTAGATGATCCAATATGTGCTGCGTGCGGTGATTATAATGAGGACCTAAATCATGTTTTATGGCAATGTGATATTTACAACGATCAAAGATTAAATTTAATTAAGAATATTTGCAGAGGAAAGACGTTATTACCGCTACACGTACACTACCTATTGTTTTATCCCAACTCTACTGCTTGTGAGCACATTGTTAAATTCTTAGATGCGATCGGTCGACCAATTTAGTTATATATCTACTAAGGAAATAATATGTAAATATTATTCTATGTATATGTAGTTTATCTTTAATAAAGAATAGCTGATATAAGGCTCCTACAAGCCTTGAAAAGCTTAAATAAAAAAAAAAAAAAAAAAAAAAAATACAGTATGGAGTTGGGATAAGTGACGTTACATCACGACTGATACTCCAGGCGCCAATTAACGTTTCACTAATTATTTTAAGAGATGATTTTAAGAGATTACGCGTACTTTAACAAGATGTAATACAAATTTTTCTAACTGGACAAGAATAAAATTTTTGTTGTAAAAGTGTTGGAATCTTATGAAAATGTTGAAAACTGAAAAGGCACTTTTTCAACGAAAATCTGATTTTTAGCTTTTTAGTGCAGATTCTGTGTTCCTTTGACAAAAAGTGTTTTTATTTTATTTTTTTATATTTGTCTTTGCCGGGGTCCCAGATGTTAGATCTAAAATATTCATTAGACTACTAGAATAACTTTAACAAACCTATTAACTTTCACTAATCACGTCCAGGAATCTTTAGACTCCAGAAAACTGTATTTACATGGAGTAACTCTCCATTGGCTAAATTTTTTTGCTTCACATCTAAAAAATCGCACCTTTAAAGTATGCATCCGTAGTATGGCATCCCCATACACTGTACCAAATAAAACGCATCGAAAAAGTGCAAAATAGATTTCTAAGATTCCTATATTTAAAAAAAATAACACCTACCCCGAATTTAATATTAAATCTGCAGATCTCAGGCATGAATTTGAAATACAACGTCTTGCTAATCGCAGAAGCATAGCTTTGGTACAGTTTGGTCATAAACTATGGAATAATCTAGTAGACCAAAGCTATCTGCTATCATTAATGACTCTTAAAGTTCCTAATCGGACGACACGTTCAACTGATATATTTTACATTCCGACGACTACTTTTCGCTTCCACTCACCCCTCTTAGTTATGTTGCGTTTGCTGAATCAATTGCTAACGTTAATTATTGATTTTGATTTATCGTTGCTGTTTAAAAAATTTTCAAAACTTGTGATCGACTACTACTCGTTTAATTAAAACTCCTTGGGACTCTGCAATATAGAGACATACAATAGGTAGTACAGATTGATTTTAGGCTTTCGCAATTGTTTTAAGTTTGGAATAAATAAATTATATATATAAATATTAAATATTATAAAAACGACTAAAATTGCAATGAACTTGAGGAGTTTGTACGAATAATATCACTATAGTTTAATCATTGACATTTATGGCGGCATTTAAGCGTTTATACAATATATTATGAGCGGTTGTTTTGATGTAATTAAATCTTAACTTAGGATTCGATTATAATTAATTGACTAACGAATTATGTGTCTAAGGGGCGCTATAATGAATAGTTCTAGCTCGAAATTCGATGGTAATTTTATATGATCTAATTGCCAAATAATCTCGAAGTAGCATTTTGTTCGATTGTGCTAGCTTAAACCATTAAGCGATCATCAGATATTTCAACACAGTTAATTGTTAGGAATGATAGCGGCAAAGATACTTGGTGATTCTCGAAGAGGCGAACAAACATAAAAAACGCACCACAAGTTATTTTTGCAAATTCTGTCGATACAGTGCAGCTGCAGCTCCAAAGCTTCCAATGTGAAAAAATGCTGCCTAACCATGGACAACACAATTAATTTCCAGAATATACAAAACCTGTAACGGATTTTTTATCATTCCTTGTTGATGCCTAATTCTCAATTTCCATAACTAACTGTCATAGATATAGTCCAGTCAACCTGTGTAATTCTCAATTTCCATAACTAACTGTCATAGATATAGTCCAGTCAACCTGTGTCGTAAAACACCAGTTGAAGGAAAAAAATAGTATAAAGCTAATTTTTTCCCCACCGACTACTACCATTTAGACAAATGTTTAGCCAAAAGTCCCCGCCCCTACCCCCCTTGCTTCTCCCCCTGTGCCACCCTAAACATGAAAAGTGTAGGGGTTTCGTAAATCGCGTCTCTGTCGATTACTAAACAACATATCGGACTGCAATTTGTTATAACATTGTCTACAAATAAGTTTCAGTTGACTTTCGTCGTAACTATTACCGTTTGTTTGTAATTCGTATGAAAAGGTAAAAAGTGGTATATTTTTCGGCACGTATTTTTACTTTTTGTCGCAGAAGTGTTCACGCCGACATTTTATCAAAAAATGTTTCCTACAAAAGTTGTAGCTCCCATTATTACCTTTAAAATGATATAAAATAGTACTTACTTTGTTGAAGAGCCTGCGAGATTCAGCCGGTGTAAGTACAGAATGCGTACCCAGTCGTGGCGGGTTCCGTCGAGGTGGACCCGGCGGCGCCGCCTTGCAATGCTAATATTGTTGTATAGTGGGTGTTTTTTAAACTTTAATGTACACAATTGCATTTTCTCTAAACTAAACCCAAATTGCAGTCCGATATGTTGTTTAGTAATCGAGAGAGACGCGATTTACGAAACCCCTACACTTTTCATGTTTAGGGTGGCACAGGGGGGAAAGCAAGGGGGGTAGAGGCGGGGACTTTTGGCTAAACACTTGTCTAAATGGTAGTAGTCGATGAGGAAAAAATTAGCTTTATACTATTTTTTTCCCACTAAAAACACAGGTTGACTGGACTAATATAACAATTAAGTCATATTTTATGTTCGCCTTATGAAGACTCAAGTATAATTTATGTGTCTTATTGGTATTATTTTGTGTTATGCATTAAATAATTAAACCGTTTATCTATTCTTAAGAAGTGATGGTGCTATTGGTCAATTGTGATAGATGAATCTTCCTAAACTTCGTGTGTAATGAATTAGTAATCATTGAGTAAGTTTATTATGTTATGTTGGTTGTGTCATTAAGAGTTATGTTGGTTTTCATTTCCACATGTTCATTTGTTTAATTTAAACAAACATGACCTTATAGTTTTCTCTATTTTACGCCCTGAACTATTGTGTAACAACTAACCCATCAAACTCGTCAATAGGTAATAATTCATTTCTTGTCGACAGATCAATCAAATTGTATTTTACATATTGACTACATTATGTTACTATTTATAGAAAGGACCGACTTTCGTTGACCTACAGAGTTTCTAATTACACATACTATTTGAATGAGTTATGCAATATGCCTTGATTGCTGTTCAATAATAATATTACATAATTTTGTTTTTTTTTTGCAGCTATATTGATCCTTTACCCGTATTTAACAATACACATGAGAGAGCTTGGTATTAATGTAGAAGAAACAGCAATAATGTCGGCGGTGATTCCAGTTATTAGTATTCTGATGCCACCTATAGCTGGTATAATAGCTGACAAAATTGGAAACTTTAAGGTACTATCTCACTATCATAAATCTTCTCTTACTACTCCATTTGCTCAGTAGCTTACGCATATGCAGGTTTCTAACTGAAATTTAAGATTTCAAAGTAAAATATGACGTCAATACCCCAACCTTTTTGGGAGAAACCGGCCCTAAAGGTACATCCAAGAACTTCAGGCGAATAGGGAAAGTTAATACATTTTTACTACAGATATATGCTTTTAACTACTGGAATGTACCAAAATCCATTTTTCAACCTGACAAATCTTCGGGATGACTCCACGAACAAGCTTGACATGTTACAATGGAAGCAGGTTTTTATACACTTATTCAAGAACCCTGCCCTTTTTCCTAGCAACTTTATTTACTACTTATTTTCGCAAGCGAGACTTCAGAGTTACTGTCAGTGTAAAAAGCTTGTGCACCCCTGAGGCTTAAAGCGTATGGAAATTTTGCGTTGATTGAGTCTAGAAATATTATTTCTGGTCAAATGTTGTTTCAGCGTGAACTGTCAAAAATACCGCTTTTGTGGTTTTCCGCGTTAGGACCAACTTTAGAGTCTAATAAAAACAAAACTACTCTACGAAATCCCTTAAAATTTCAGTATGTTGTAAACTGGGACTTTCTGGGACATTCGAAAGCACTCGAGAACACTCAAGTTTACTATATAAGCAAATAGAATCGCGTTTCAGAACAGTTCCAATTTCAACGCCGAAGTAATAAATAGTTCGCCGTTATAAATTCTGCATATGTGAGAAATAGTCCTTAACTGCCATAAATCAATTCATTTTAGGACTGTTTTATTGTTAATTAATTTTAAATATAAAAATCACGCAATTAAATTTATATTACACTGCTGTCAGGTGTGGGGTTGTCTTTAAGTGGACAATTAGTGAAAGTTTATGTCAATTGTGACCAGATTTATGTCTACGGTCTCAGTAGCTCAGCAACAATCAATGGAAGTTAAAATTGAAACCGGTCAACAAGAAATTCATTCATAGGGCAAAAAAAGAAATGAAAGCTGTAATCCATGAACTACGAAAACTATTTATGTTATTGACTGACGAAGGCGAAAAAATGTCACCTATAATAACACAAGATCTACTTGCTGTTGCACAATAGTCCCGCGAAGGAGCCCCCGAACCATGTGAAAATATTGGTACAACAAAGATTCGAGTTAAGCTACCAACATTCGATGCCCCGGAGATTGCGGTCCATGAAGATTCGTGACGCACGGTGGATGATGATTGAGCAACGTAAGAACTCCGGACGGCTCCAGAAGATGACCGTGATTTACGTTTAGTGAGCAAAATCTGTGCTGCGATTGTTAAGTTTAGAGCAAAAACTTGAAAACCACGAATCTCTATTGGCGATTTGAGATTTTTGGGCAATAATCCAAACTACACTTCACTATCAACACGGCAAAGTCAACAAATGTCCGGGTAGGTTATGGCCACAATGTTTTTGGATTCCAGTAAGGGTATTTTCTCTCCTTTTAAATTGAAAGCAGCAGTTTCCCCTGAAATGGTTCCGAAATGGTGCTTTTCGTGTCTAGCCACACACTCCCATATTACTCGAAAGAAATTGGATGAATTGCCACCTCATCTCAAAGGTAAAGCTCTTCTTTGCCGGATCACTTGAAAACAGGTATAATGGCCCTTCAGCTGAGTTGATTTACAATGGCTTTTTATTTTGATTTTAAGTCTCACTTTTCGTTAGGTCTCCTCGTATAACGAATACACGTGTATCGTAGTATATGAAGTTACCGCAGTTGGAGGTTTTTTTAGATTCATGATAAAAACCCATAACAAGAGGGACACCAATTCAAGACACCTTTTCCATTCGCCCGTCAATATTTCAAGAAAACGTTGCCGACAGGTACTGAAAAAGTTGTGTATCATCCACTATACATTTTTAACGTGGGACAAACAAACAAAATATAATTCTATCAAATAAATCAAACGCATAGGTGTACCAATAATTTATGATAATTGTTCGCTGCAATAGATTATGTACACTTTTTTTCCTTTCGTTGCTCACACTGAGAGTCGTTAGTCATCCGTTAATGAAGATTATACTTGTTCTAGATTTTACTAGCAATCTTCTCTGCACTGGGTGGCGTATCCGCTTTAATGCTTTTAATCGTTCCTGTTGGAAGAGTGACAGTAGTCTACCCGAGCAGTGTAGAGTTCGCGCTATCCTGTACAGGAAACTCTCCGATCAATCTATGGTTATACCAAGAGAACCCGTGCACGCCATTACATTCACATACGTATGAAACAGACATTCAAATTGAAACGTGCGGCTTTGTATGTCGAGCAATTACAAATGGAAGAGATTCAATGGCAATTCTAGGTGCAAAAAGTTACAGCGTTCAAATGCACAATATTAAGGCCAACACAACGATCAGTGATGAATTCACTAACGTCAACGTGCCCGTGCACAATTCGTTCGAAATGTCACCTGTCATTACGAAACGAGTTTTAAAAAATAATAAGAACTATTCAACGTCGATAAGGAAACTAGCGGCACATTCTTACTTTTTCCCAGCCCCTGGCTTGTACAACTTTTCATGCGGAATTGAAAGTAACGATAGTGATTCTGCCGGAAGCTATTCATGTAATTTTGGAAGTACGAAGCATTCGAAAAACCAATTTACTGTTGGAATAGTTCCACAGTCTCAAAGCGAAGATGACATCGATGAAAATAAGCAGTTGTTTCAGTTAGCGTATATGAAAAATAAACAACAGTTGCTTCCAACGACCTGTCTCGATGGATTTCCGACGAACAAGGAATACATCGTCGTTCAAATTCCTTTGCGTCGTCGCAATGAGACGGTAGCATACAAAACTGTGGACTTGGGAAGCTGTGATACGCGTTGTTTAGTATCAAGTCCAAGAACCACCGTGTGCTCTAACAAACAGTACTTGAAGGATGTTGATATTACTGTAACATTTTGGGCCTACTTAGCTGTGAGGGTTTTTATTGGAATGGTAGGCGGAACAGCTTATGCAATGTACGAAGGTGCTGTAATTGCTGTTTTACGTGAACATAAAGCCGATTATGGATTGCAAAGAGTGTACGCCACTATTGGAGGTATGATCAGCTCTCCCATATCAGGTTTTTTGATAGATTACGCAAGTAAAGGAAAAGACTATACCGATTATAGGTAGGTGAAGACCACGTAAGTCACCATTATTTTCAGTAAACATTTCAGACCAATTTTTTTCCTGTACGCAAGCTTGAAAATTGTCTTTGCCATTTTGGTGCTGTTTGTAAATTTAAAATTCAAAACACCTGCGAATAATGTAATTTCGGATGTTTTTTCTGTGTTGAAGAAAATTGAACTGCTGGCTCTTTTCGCGGCTTTTTTCATATTAGGTAATAAAATTTGCAATTGACTTGACACGAATGATAATGTTTGCTTTCAGGAACGGTGTGGGGATATATTGAAAGTTTCCTATTTTGGTTAATACAAGATTTAGGCGGCTCAAAATCATTAATGGGGATAACGATTACTGTTGGAGGAATAGCTGGTATTCCACTGCTGGTTTTATCGGGTCCAATAATTAAGCGTATTGGACACGCAAATGTTATTTTTATTGGTTTTCTATTTTACGCTATTCGCTTACTGGGATATTCCCTGATATATAATCCGTGGCTGTGTTTAATTTTTGAAGCAATGGAGAGTATCACTTCGTCCTTAACAGTAACAGCAGTCGTAACGTATGGAGCTAAATTATCTACAATTACTACAGATACAAGCGTTCAAGGTATATTGGGTGGTCTTTACTTTGGTGTTGGTAAGTTAAGCGGCACATTTGCTGTAATGAGCTAGTAATGTTTATAATTAGGAAAAGGATCGGGAAGTCTCGTAGGAGGGTACCTTATGAAATATGTGGGAACTAGGACTACATTTCAAATTTTTTCTGCAGTGGCTGCAGTAACGGGCTTGATTTACTTCTGTTTTAACCATTTTTACATGAAGAAATGGCCCTCAGAAGGACGAGACATAACAAAAAAAGATTCTTTGCAACCTACCCCCAGTATTATCGGTGTTAATGTGAATGAAAAAGTTAGTGACGTTGAAACGTATGAATCTACCGGAAAAGATATATTACCTTACGAAGATGCCCTTACCAACTATGGCTATGAGGATACAGAGAACATTGAAACAGAATATACCGTTTCCAATGGCAACACGAAAGTTTGAAAGTCATCTACAATGTCATTACTTAAAAGCTTTTTAGCTAAATTACAAACTGTTTCAGTTTTGAATAGGGTTTTCTTCACAATTCGACAATACAATGCGATCAAAAATGAGTTGCTGTCGAGTCGCCTTTGAAATTTTTGTTTACATGGAAAATCGTATTTAACTGAACTTCCAAAGGCGACTCGACAGCAATTCGTTTTTGATCGCCCGTTATTCATTAGGCAGATCGGCGTATTAATAGGTACCAATGTATAATTTCTGTGATATAACAATAAGTAGATAATAAAGATGAAGTGATAAAATGGACTATTGGAAAATACTCCGCGTTACCATCTCTTATTTTAGCGATACTCGTCGAAAACCTTTGTTGGTTTTAACTAAACTGAAACTGGGCAACGAAGGCATTCAATTATACATGCATGGAATACATTCATTGCTAGCGTAATTAGGCACTATTAGGAAAAAACCTGAAAGGGGTCGATTTTTATTCTTATAATTTGACAAGTTATAGTATGAAACTATTACCCCCTCTCTGAATGAAGCACCTCTTGCATAGATTTCATTTTTCTGTTTAACAATATACAGTTTTTTTAATTTAGTGCAAATCAATTGACCCAGAGCGATTTTACAAAAATTATGATTTCAAATCAGAATTTATCATCGAACAAACCTTTGATAAAATGGGCGATTCACAAACACTACTCAAGCCTTTGCAGTAAACATGCAAGAGGAGTTGGCCCAAAAATATGCTAAAGCACCAATTGGGTAACGTAATAGGTAATGTTATTACCTATTTTGGCCCAGGCCTAGGCCGTCTTTGTACAAATTCCCAAATAGTACAAGTACTTGACGTCTTACTAACAAGACTCATACTAATTTGCGATATTAAACGTTTTTGCATGCCATTTATCTTGCTAATACGTAGATAATACGTTTAAACGGTTTAGCCACAGATATAGGTAAAGAAATATCTGTGGTTTAGCTAACGAATTGGTGATAATTTACCGTTTTGGGAGAAATAACTTTTAATCTAGACTACTAGAGGGAATTAATTGCACTTTTAAGGACCATAATGTGTTTATGCCTATTCATAATTTAGGAAGTTTAATAAGATGTTATCCACAGGAACTCCCATACTCCATAGAAACTTGTAAATCAAATTTGGTAACGAATCCCCCATACCCCACTCGTAGTAGATTATTCGGCACCATTCGGTACCAAATTTTGGCACACTTCGATCGTGGCGTTTAAAATCCATTCACTATTTACTTGCTAAAACAGTATATCAAGGAATAACATGGGGGTGTGGAAGCTATTAAGACGCAAACACATGAAGATCGTCTGGCACACCTTCAACGTATCGGGTACAGGGTACTTATTGCAAAAAATTGCTCCCGTAAATTTGTGTTCCAACGGACAGATGACGGACGGACAAAACTAGCTTTGCAGTGCTTTGTTGCAGTAGAAACTTCTAAGAATGCATTTAAAGAATTGAAGGCGTAACAAATAATAGATTGAATGGTTTTAGAAATATTTTGATGTAATCTGAACATTCCTAGTGAACAGCGACAACTGGTTTTATTTAAAAATATTTCGTGTTGGTGACTAATGATAAGGTCGCGCCGACGCTGACCTGTTATCAGTGAACCTAACAAATAGTTCGTGAAGCGATGAAATCCTTCCGTGCAAGAGACTAAAGTAGTAAGACTACGGGGTGATGAGTTTTTGTTTAATTATAATGCATGTAAGTTTACTAAACCCCAAACATCGCCGCTACTGCTGATCCACAAACAAAAACTTTGATAACCGATTTACTGTATTTTATATTATTACTATTTAACTTTGACCGATTTTTAACCACAATTGATTTATACATAAGCGTTAATATGACTATCTTTGTTAAATGAAAGACTATGTCGAATAGATCAGACATGAAACTTGAAATAATTAGGTACCTACTTAGGTTCCTTCAGGTATATAACATGCGGGACAGACGGACGGACTTTTGCGAAATCTCTCTAAAAACCCCTTCTATACCGGGTAGTCTTTTGCAATTTCATTTTTTTTATTTGGGAAAAGATAAACATCGGCTATTTACCGAAAGTCCTTTTTACAAAATTAAGGCTATCATTCTATTTTCCGGTAAAACTTTGTTTGCTATAATTTCGCCTTATGTATTAAGCACAAATCGAACTTTTATAAACATACAATATTGTTTATGGAAATGTAGTTCAGCCTCCTTTTTATTGTTATAAAGTGCAACGTCTTGATTGGGTTTGGAATACAACTTTGTTGTGTTGCTACGTTGCTCGAACAAGGCTGATCTGTATTGTATTTGGCTCCAAACACGAACTATGTCTATTTACAAAATTTGGCAATTAAAGATAAATCGCAATCACGCACTTAAATAATCATTCTACTAAAAGTCCATCCCTTAGCCGCGAGGCCCACAAATGCTTAATTGCAATATCACAATTCACAGCACCATCGTATTGCACTACGTATCCTAATTTTCTGGGCAGTCTTTTTCATCGCTTCCATCGCTGCATTCGATGTATCCATTGCACAGTCTACTTTTAGGCAAACATTCTCCTAAGGGACACCTATGCCCCTGACATGTATTTTTAGTAGTTGGAGATAAAGTTTTCTCATTGTCGTCTATATGCGATCGTATCCATGGTAGGTAATTTGATACCTTTGTGTATACCCCAGGTCTATTTGCTCGTGCACAACCGTATCCATTGCTCGTTATGCCTAAAAATATATACTATAACGACTTAACTAAATTTCTGCCCTCACCATATAGCACCCATCTACCATCAGGCTCTGAGCACATAAGCGGCCCCCCTGAATCTCCAAGGCAAGCATCTCTTCCACCACGATCATAACCAGCGCAAAACATATCGTCAGTGATCTTGTACAATGGTAAGAATAAAGTGTGCTTTCGACACTCCGACGTTGAAATGACTGGCACTTGAACTTCCTGTAGCGTGTCAGCTAAACAAAATGTTAACCATAAAAAAGGCTTCTAATTCATTGTAACTTACGAAAAATTCGTCCAACTTCGAAAAGCTGACCCCATCCGATAACGGTACAAATTCTGTTGTCCTTAAGTTCACTATCTGACACAGGCAGACATATGGGCCTGACGTAATCACTAAAAATTAGTGGAGTTTCCGTTTGAAGCAACGATATGTCGTTAATAAAGCCAACGTCAACGTATCCAGGATGTAATATAATTTGTGTAATAGGGCGCAACTGTTCATATGGCGAGGGTAGCGCCGTACCTCTTCTTAAAGTTCCCATTCTTGCGACCCAATGATCTTCCAGTGAACTACAAGAGAAAGATAATCAAAATGTGGCTACCATTGTATACACTTACTGAAAAAAGCAATGCCCAGCGGAAAGAAGCCAACGGCTTGTTAGCAACGTAGCACCACATTGAAATTCTCCCTCCTTGTATAAAGCAGCTTGCCACGGCCACGATCCTAACCCGGCATTACCTCCGCCCACAATCCTGTACATACGCCTGCATTATTATGCCTTTGAATTCACGTTGAACAGATTAATTAAGTGCGTTAATATGCCAACTTACCTAGCCAATTGGTTAACTGCTTGGGGACGTGTTCCGCATTCCAGCACGTTGCAACGTATCTTCATCACCCGTTTACTTGGACACTCGTTCTCGTTGAAAGTTAAGTTTGATTTTGGAACGTTCACCATTTGACCGGCAAGTTCGAAATATTTCTTCTCCGTCTTATGATCCGAATCTGTGTCATTATCAATTTTGAGAACATCCAATTTTCTAGAACTATCATTACACCACAAATTTTGAAAAAAAATTAATTACTTATAAGTTCGCGAGTTACACACTGCTTGGCCTAAGTCAGCAAACCTCAATGCACTGTCTTCGTTATTCATACACAATTTACCCCAACGTCCATACTTTCTCACCAACAAATATCCTTCCGAGTAATATGGATATTCGTTTGCCGCCTTTAAAGTTGGAGCAACAGTTACGCAATGCCTTTCATCGTCTCCATTGGGACAATCTCTTGAACCGTCGCAGAGTTTCGCTGTGTCTATACAAAACTTGGAATTGGCACAAACGTATTGGCCAGGTTTGCACCAATCTGAAAGCACGTTACGTATAATCGGGTATAATTAAAACATCTAACCTAACTTACCACAAAGATTCTCATCAGAAAAATCCCAACAGTCCACGACACCATCGCAAATTTTTCGTAAGAGGTATTGAGATTTTAGATAATCTGCACATGTGCAATTCTTTTCGTCGGTTCCATCATTGCAGTCGACTAGTTGGTTGCACCTCGTGGTGTCCGGCAGGCACTGTCCGTCTCCACATTTAATCGTGTAGTTACTACATTCTGTAATTGTTCTGGTTGCAAGTCGACACTAAAAGTAGCAATACTTACCCGTTGTGTTTGTCGAAACAGTATTGCCACCAAACGCAGATTTGTGCTCGTCTTCTTTAGAAAAAACCGAAACTTTGTTTAACGTTTTTGTAAGTATCTTCAATCCTGCTTGATTATGAGTGTAACTAGCGGATATTGCTTTGTTTGATATCACAGGCGCGTCCTCGTCATGACTGATATTTGAACGAAGTTTGCTGATTTCCGAAAGTTGTTTCAATTTATCTTCGGAAAGAATTTTAATTTGGGTGCCACTTTTCCCAATGGAAACTGACGAATTCACGCTAAATATCGACATCTCCAGTTCTTTGTTGGCGTGGGATTCTTTGGGGTCCATTTTAGGGTTCCTATTAACTTCGGCTTCCGCGACTGAATCATCTCTCGTTAACGATTCGTGCTCCTTTTCAAAATTTAGAACTCCGGAAATTTTAAAATCGTTTACGGGACTTTTGCTTATTTTCCCTCTACTGATTTCCGTGCTGAGCGATGTTACAACTTCGGTGTGTATAAATTTGATAGGTGATCGAGGTACGTCGGAGTTGACGTTTTTTATAAAAGGGTCGCTGGGAAAGCTACGGTTTTCCACCGAATCAGTTTGGTTTGCTGGTTTTTGTGGACGAGGACGTAATGGTCTTGAAATTCCGGAGTTTGATTTGACGGGCAGAAGTGTTACTAAAGGAACTTTGGTAGAAGGCCGAGACTCTAGTGTAATTGCATCTTCTTCTACTTCTACAACTTCAGCGTGGCCTTCTACAAAGCCTTCAGCTTCAGTGTGTTCTTTAAGTGTACTGGAGGGTATGTCCCTGGGTGTTTGTGGTATAGTGGATGAAATGGTTGTGGTACTTAAAACAGAGGACGCTAGGTTACGGAAAATTGACATATTCGTTTCGTTGTGTTTTAAATTAGTTTTCATCAAGGTATTCTCGGGTTCACTAAACGATTGCGATCCTGTTCCATTTAGTAATTCCCAACTCAAACGCGGAAAGGTATCAGTTTCGTTTGTATTATTTACACTGGCTCCAGGTACATGTTTCAAAGTTTCAACTTCCACGAAAGCTCCCGATTGGTCTTCGGAAACCTGCATGTCTTCTCTGTCAAAGTCTCTTCTTTTTGTGGTAGATACAACTTCTTCATCTTCTGAACTTGTTGTAATGAAATGCGTTTCAGTGACTGCTGCAATTTTGTCCACCGGTAAGGGATGTCCAACAATTTCTGTAGCGCCCAACCTTTCTAGTTGAGTGGAATGGTAAGAAAGGCCGGGATTTGTGAAGCTTGTGTAGACCGGTTTGTTTCTTAGCAGCTCAATTTGAGACTTTATTTCCACTTTGGGGAAAGTATTGTTTTGTGTTGATGTTCCTTGGATGGGAACCCAAGGTTCTTTGTCCAACGAGTGCGAGGGAATTGTAAAAAAATAAAGATTAGAAGATTGCAACCTTTTACTAGTTGTAAGTGCATCAGGTGAAGTTGTTGTTACAATACTAGTTTTTGGAGATTCCGTTGTCGAGCTGGGTGTTTTCTGTGAGGTGGTTTTTACAGTCTCTGTGCTAATTGCTGCGACTTGGAACAAGTGACTAGTAACATAAGTAAGTTTAGGGATACTGGTTCCAGTAGTCCACTTTGGTTTCAATGTAGTTGTCGTTCTAGCATTCTTTTTTTCTGTTATATCGGCGTCAGTTTTGCTTATTTCGAACGATCCATGCAGAGAAGGTTTTTTCGGTACAGTATCATCTGGATTGGTTTGCTTTGTATTAGGTACATTACTTAGTGCGCTTGTGTTGGTTCTTTGATTTGGCTTTAATAAGACCGTATTTTTTGGTTTAACTCCTTCCTTTGTTTTCGTGATCACTTTTTGAGAGGCAGCTTCTACGTCCAGCGTTTGCCTTATTTGTATGCTTTTAGGATCGAAACGAACGTGCCTGAATATCGGTCGTCTTGTAATGGAATCGTTGATAAGAGCGTCTCTTAGGACCTTTTCTAAATTTGATATACTCCTAGAAAAATATATCAGATATTGTGTTTTACAATAGATTTTAATACCTAGGTAGTGCTTTCCTATTTAATGAGATTCTAAAGTATATGGTAACGGTGTCATCGCCAAACTTCTCAACTGTACACGATACTAAAGCTGGTCCTATACTGCTTCTATGGTATAGTGCTTCTAATTGCTGTTTATATTTTCGTGCCTTATCTTGAAGATTGTTAAGAAATCGATCGCCTCTAAGAACTTTGGCGCTACAGTTGAACGTTAGCAATTCTAAAAACAATGTGTAGAGTCTCTAGTAAACAACATAGAAATAGCGTACGAGTAGGTGCTTCACTACGTAACACACCCATGTAAAGAGCTAATCCTGCTATGGAAAGAACGGTTACAAACACCAAAAATGCGGCAGCTGCTAGTGCAACCGATGTTACCTTGCTTTTAGGTTTTTCATTATTCAAATGCGTTCTTTGGTGCCACACAAATGGATTGTGGTGACTTCGACTTGGTAAGCTATATTCATTCTGTAACAAAATTGCCGTATAAGTATGGGTTAAATTCCATTTACACATTTTAGCACAAAGCAAAAAAATGGAGGCTCCTTTATCTTTCTGAGTGTTAGTCCCTACGCTCGCTAGCCTTCTCAAATTGTATACAATAAAAATTCTGGACTCTATACTAGAACTATAAATCAAAGTGCAGAATACGACTTTCTATGGTAAAATACAGTAGTCGACAATTACTCAAATGGTCGAAAGTATACGCAGACAATGAAGAAAACTGGATGCAACAAAAATTAGAACACTAAGTACGGTTTGTGCAGCGATAGTGTAAGATAAAGAGGAATTCTATTCTAGGTATTTCTTGGTATGGTTTATTACACACAGAAGATTCTACTATGCTAAACAGTATTTTAGCAGGTTGTAGAACAAGTTATGCGGGTACTTCCGCAAGTAAATGAACTGGATTCCGTTAGTTATAAAATTGAAAAATACCGCAATTTTCACAATGTCTGTGTTAAATTACACATACACCAAAAAGTGTTTGTGGGCACACACTTTTACTAGTAGATTTAAAATGCCAACAGCCACAACTTTCTGCGGGTAAGTTACAAAATAAGCGTCATGAAGGTAAGAATTATATTCTCCTACTTTTTCGTATAATAATAATCTAACATTGAAAACTAAACGTACATTGTTCAGAGTTTGAGTTTGATTTCCATAATAGCTGTCTTAAATTGTTTCAAGTACAACTTTAGATCATCATGAAAACAACTTGTTCGTGACCATTCCAGACAATTGGAATTTACTGTTAATAAAAGTCCCTACTATCAGGGGCGGACTGGGTAATTGCGGGCCAGGTGGAATTGCATAGTACTCCTTTCTCGAAAATAAATTACCTGATAATTAAAAGTAACAAAATATACAATCCACACGAGGTGCGTCGCCTATCATTGTATTTCAGCACTTTCAAAATACTACGACAAAAAATGATAAATTCATTGTAAAACACTTCAATTAAAACAGAATTTTTTAACAACCTAACATCAACCCCAATTAGAGAAACGTGTTAATAATTTATTAATAGTGCAAGAAACTAAATACAGCACATACTTATAAATTTCCAACGGGCCATTATGATCTACAGGCCAGGTGGCAATCGCCACCCGCCCCCCCGGGCCAGTGCGCCCCTGGTTATACACTGCCTTTTTTTGAGTCCCGAAAAAAACATTGTCTCAGATCGCCCCGGAAAAAAAATTTTCTTATAGAATGTGGCCTGTAGAATCCATAATTTCAAACAGTTCCAAGATTGGGCTACTAGTTCAAAAGTTACAGCCCTTTGAATTTTTTTTCGAATTTGGTTTCTAGTCTATAACTTTTGATTGAGAAGTCTGATCGAAAAAGTACGAATTGTTTTGGATTCTACGCACCAAATTTAATAAGAAAGTGTTTTCCCGAGAAATTTTGGTGTAGTCGATTTTTGGTAAAAAAGGAAGGTTATACACTGCCTTTTTTTGAGCCCCGAAAAAAATTGTCTCAGATCGACCCGGAAAAAAAATTTTCTTATAGAATGTGGCCTGTAGAATCCATAATTTCAAACAGTTCCAAGATTGGGCTACTAGTTCAAAAGTTACAGCCCTTTAAATTTTTTTTCGAAATTGGTTTCTAGTCTATAACTTTTGATTGAGAAGTCTGATCGAAAAAGTACGAATTGATTTGGATTCTACGCGCCCAAATTAATAAGAAAAAGTGTTTTGCCGAGAAATTTTGGTGCAGTCGATTTTTGGTAAAAAAAGGTTATACACAGGGGCGGACTGGGTACTTACGGGCCATTAAAGTATTAGTGTAGTAATGAAGGTGGCGGGGGGGAGGGGGGGTAGCTCTGAGGTGCACCACAAAAACATTTTAAAGTACTCCTTTTCTCGAAAATCAATTACCATACAGTTTTTTTTTAAATTGCAGCTGATAATTAAAAGTAACAAAATATACAATCCACACGAGGTGCGTCGCCTATCATTGTATTTCAGCACTTTCAAAATACTACGACAAAAAATGATAAATTCATTGTAAAACACTTCAATTAAAACAGAATTTTTTAACAACCTAACATCAACCCCAATTAGAGAAACGTGTTAATAATTTATTAATAGTGCAAGAAACTAAATACAGCACATACTTATAAATTTCCAACGGGCCATTATGATCTACAGGCTAGGTGGCAATCGTCACCCGCCCCCCCGTGCTAGTCCGCCCCTGCCTACTATAGTCCATTATATAGCTGCATCTGTAGATGCTTATCTATTAATAGAAAATTTTGTGATTTTCCAGAAGGAAGTCGTTCTCTTTTCGAATTCGACCGGAATACTCGTATTAGTACCACAGACAACATTAGTATATGTTGTCTGTGTTAGTACTTAGGATTATTTGAGTTAGAATAAGGAAATTTGATTTATCCGGGTACGGTTCATTAATTCAATCCTTTTAATAGAATACTTACGTAAAATTTCTCTGTTTATCCTTTTAAATAGACCACGTCAAAGCATTTGGAATGTTAGATCGGATTTTAGGGAATTTGAATAGCATTTTAGTGACCAATACAAAATGTGCAAATTTGGGATTTATTTCATCTCTGGATGAAAAACACGTGTACATATAACGGGCGATCAAAAATGAGTTGCTGTCGAGTCGCCTTTGGAAGTTCAAGTTAAATACGATTTCCCATGTAAACAAAAGTTCCAAAGGTGACTCGACAGCAACTCATTTTTGATCGCACAGTACACAGAAGGTATAATAAATTAAGAAATGAAAAATTAATTAACATTTAATAAAAATTCGATGCAACCATCCTCGATTCATTTTTGGGCTGTAAATTTTTGACCCGATTATTATTTATTATTATTATAGTTTTGGGGTCGGTTCCTTTTAGTTTATTGTGATACAAACTATTGCGCTAATCCATTATCAGAAATAGTCCTGTGGGGTAAATCTAAGTTATAGAAGTAAAATATCTGCAAAAACTAAACAGAAAAGATTGAACTAGAAAGTGGCTAACATTTCGGAATAATAAACCTTTTAAGTAACGTAAACTGTAGATGTTTAAGAGCACCGAGGTATAAGGCGTTGAAGTTATAGATGAGTGTTTTATTCATCTGCTGTAATACAGGACGGAAATTACCGTTTATTCAACTATTTACATAAACAACGCCATCAAAGGACGTGAGGTTTCTAACAAACGCATAATGTGGGATTACAGTAATAACGGTTGATCAGTTCACTAAGAATACGAATGAAAACTAAACGTCGTAAACTGTACAAAAGCTCAAAATTGACAACTCTCACTGTTAAAAAAATAATAACAAGTATAAATATTGTCCCCATTGATTTTAGAAGCACTATATAATGTGAATGAAAACATCTACTTTTTTAATTTTTGTGGAGAAAACAAACACTCATACCATCTTTTGGTATAATTTGCATTCTTTTTACCTTATAAGTTTATAACAATGATTACTTCATTCAGGAAGGTACGGATGGTGCCGGATGGCCTACCAAAAAAACTTTCCAACCTAATGCCGAACAACCGTTAAAATCGAGTTTTCTAATTGTTTGGAATTACAATGATCGTAATAACTTTAATCACACACAGAAAGAAATTCAATTAAGGAACAATTAGTAGAAATAGTAGAAAACTTATTTTACACCTAAATGTGTGATTATAATTTAAATTAAGCAACGGTATCTTTACAATTCTATTGATAATTACGAAGTGATATAACTGTAAATGGATTCCATACTCACGGATAATATAGACAATATACATCGCGTAGTTAATTTGAGAACTATCAGGTGAAATGGTGAAATGCCTTTTACGATTGGCCGAATGTTTAAAGGCCATCAGTTAAACGATATTACCTGTATTTTGTAACTAAAAGGATTATTTCTCAGGGTATAGCAACAGAATGAATCCACCCAAGAACTGGGTTAGTTATTGAGGCTCAATTACGATATGGACACTTTTAAGCAACAAAAATCTTGAGAAATCTATTACCAATTTTGTTAGGGAAACCGAAAAACGCACATCTACTCGTGGGGTAAGAACAAATTTAGTATTATAGTCCAAGTAATGATTTTGGACGTGAGACTGATACATAAAAATAATTGTGATTTTGTCGTCAATCTAATTACTGAAGAAATATATGTATAAAGTCAGAAGTGAGATGGTTACCGATATCCATTTATGAAATGATTGACTTTGCACACAAAACGAGGATGCAGTCAGCAAGACTAAATCAAAAGAAAGTTACATTTCGAAATTACGTTGTTTGCATTACAGCTAGGCGAATTATGCGCGGTTTAGTTGTCACGTTAGATGACAGTTGCTGGTCAAACGGCAGAACTTATGGTTCTCGCAATTTCCATTATAAAATCTTGCCGTGCAGATGTCTTCAAACAGCAATAGATTTCCTTCGAGAATGAGAGCATAATCTATCATTGCGTATCGGTGCAATTAACCAGTTCAAGCAAATAAAAGAGGTTTAGCCTTGAAGCAGAAAATTGTAGGCAAGTTGAAGATACTTCAATTAATAATAATTGTGCAGTAACTATTTTTAAATTCCAACGTCTAATCGATCTTTTTCGTTTTCTTGCTTTTATGTCGTTTGAATGGACATTAGGCGGAGATGCTGCACAAACTGACATATAATTCATCTTGCGGAGAGGAATTCACTTTTTCAACCTTTTCTTATTGTCGCGTTCTGCCTAATTTAAAACCGTAATTTTAAAAGTTCATTGTTCGTAGCGGATGGTATAGAGAGAGAAGTAACGTTTAACTTTCTACCATGTAGTTGTTAATCCCCTACGCTATATCAATAAAATGCAATTAATTTGACTAACTGCCAATACACGTTGTAATTCGTTTTTTTAAACTGTAATTTATTCCAAGATTATATGGGCAATTCCTTGCCGATATATGATTGTTACCCTGTTTTGGTTGTATTAATGAATCAATGCTCCTACGCGAAGTA